TGGTCTGCGACTTAATCTTGGCAGTCACAGACTTTCAGGAGTTTGTTGGGTGCCAATAGAGATAATTACAATTTATGACATTTTTGACCATCCAGAGTCTATTTCGTTGGTTTGCGACTGATTATTAGGCACTTGCAGACTTTCAGGAATGTTTGGTGCTAATGCAGATAATGACATTTTAGGGTAAAAATGCTCTGCTTATGACTAAGGGGTCCTTAAAAGTAAAAAGTAATGATCTGCAATGGCACTAAACATCCTGAAAGTCTGCGAGTCTCAAGGAATCAGTCGCAGACCCAAGAAATGTACTCTGGCGGTTCCCTAAAAGTTCAGAAATGTCATTATCTCATTAGCATCAAAATTCCTGAAAGTCTGCAAGTATCCAAAAATCAGTCGCAGACCAGCGAAAATGAACTCTGGTGGGTCGCTAGAAGTCAAAAATGTCATTATCTCCATTGGCACCAGAGATTCCTGAAAGTCTGCGAATGTCCCAGAATCAGTCGCAGACGATAAAAATGGACTCTGGCGGGTCACTAGAAGTAAAAATTGCCATCATCTCTATTGGCACCAAACTTTCCTGAAAGTCTGCGAGTGTCCAACAATACGCTGCAGGCCAATGAAATGGACTCTTAAAAGTCCCTAGAAATCAAAAATATGATTATTTCCATTGGCACCAACCATTCCTGAAAGTCTGCGAGTGGCCAAGAATCAGTCGCAGACGACCAAAATGGACTCATGAGGGTCCCTAGAAGTCTTAATTGTCAATATCAGCATTGGCATCAAAATTCCTGAAAGTCTGCGAGTGCCTCAGAATTGCCTAGAAGTCGAAAATGTCAATAAAACTTTGGCAACAATAAATCCTGGAACTCAGAATCAGTCTGCCAACTGAGCATTCCACCAGAGCATTTTTTAACTATATTTCGGAATGCCCTGCTAGATTGCCTAGCCAGCTTAGCATTCCACCAGAGCATTTTTACACCATATTTAGTAATGCCCTGCTAGATTGCCTAGCCAGCTCAGCATTCCACCAGAGCATTTTTTCACTATATTAAGTAATGCTCTGCTATAGTGCCTAGCCAGCTGAGCATTCCAGCAGAACATTTTTACACTATATCTAGTAATGTTCTGCTAGATTGCCTAGCCAGCTGAGCATTCCACCAGAGCATTTTTTCACTATATTAAGGAATGCTTTGCTATAGTGCCTAGCCAGCTGAGCATTCATGCAGAGCACTTTAACACTATATTTAGTAATGCCCCGCCAGATTGCCTAGCCAGTTTAGCATTCGAGCAGAGCATTTTTACACTATATTTAGGAATGCCCCGCTAGATTGCCAAGCCAGCTTAGCATTCCAGAAAAGCATTTGTTCACTATATTTAGTAATGCTCTGCTAGATTGCCTAGCCAGCTTAGCATTCCAGCAGAGCATTTTTACACTATATTTAGTAATGTCCTGCTAGATTGCATACCCAGCTTAGCATTCCAGCAGAGCATTTTTACACTTCATTTAGTAATGCTCTGCTAGATCGCCTAGCCAGCTTAGCATTCCAGCAGAGCATTTTTCACTATTTTTAGGAATGCCCTGCTAGATTGCCTAGCCAGCTTAGCATTCCAGCAGAGCATTTTTACACTATATTTAGTAATGTCCTGCTAGATTGCCTAGCCAGCTTAGCATTCCAGCAGAGCATTTTTACACCATATTTAGTAATGCCCTGCTAGATTGCCTAGCCAGCTGAGCATTCCACCAGAGCATTTTTTCACTATATTAAGGAATGCTCTGCTATAGTGCCTAGCCAGCTGAGCATTCCAGCAGAGCATTTTTACACTATATCTAGTAATGCTCTGCTAGATTGCCTAGCCAGCTGAGCATTCCACCAGAGCATTTTTTCACTATATTAAGGAATGCTCTGCTATAGTGCCTAGCCAGCTGAGCATTCCTGCAGAGCATTTTAACACTTTATTTAGTAATGCCCTGCTAGATTGCCTAGCCAGCTTAGCATTCCAGCAGAGCATTTTTACACTATATTTTGTAATGCTCTGCTAGATTGCCTAGCAGCTTAGCATTCCACCAGAGCATTTTTACACTATATTTAGTAATGCCCTGCTAGATTGCCTAGCCAGCTTAGCATTTGAGCAGAGCATTTGTTCACTATATTTAGTAATGCCCTGCTAGATTACCTAGCCAGCTTAGCTAGCCAGCTGAGCATTCCAGCAGAGCATTTTAACACTATATTTAGTAATGCACTGCTAGATTGCCTAGCCAGCTGAGCGTTCCAGCAGAGCATTTTTTCACTAAAGGTAGGAATGCTCTGCTAGATTGCCAAGACACAGAGCATTTTTACACTATATTTAGGAATGCCCTGCTAGATGCCCAAAACAGCTGAGCATTACAGCAGATCATTACCTTCCCTATATAAATTGAAATGCCTTTTTGCTTAGCTCACTGTTCACTGCTAACTTCTCACATACTGTTTTGCACGTGCTGTTTGGCGCTACATTGTGACGACACGTAAACAACACTTTAAACGTCTGTACAGCTTTAAGTAAAGTATTGAAGATATTGGTGTTCGGATTCATTTTCTTAGTTAGACCATTTTCTCCATTCTAGATAGTTTTCACAACAAAATTCGGCAAAAAAATGTTTTTTATTTATCAGATTTTTCAAACAAAATGGCGCCCCCAATGTGAAAATACACAGGGAGATAATAAGAACGGCGAGTGCATTGTTGTAGAAAAATGCACGCTTCGGGCCTTCTTTGTTTATATAGAAACATTTCCGATATTGTTAGAATGTTGTTTTTATTACATAAACGAAAAATTTCTGAATTTTCAATCATTGGTATGTTCTTTATACATTTTAGGCACAGAATAAAATCATTTCATCTCTAGAATCTGATAATTCAAATACAGAGGTTAAAGAAAGTACAGATAATGATAACGATTCTAATACAGATGAAAATGAAAATGCAGGAAATGATTACGATAATTCTTATATAGAAGAAAATTCCAATGCAGAAACTGATAACGAAAATTTAAATACAAAGACAAATACAAATGCAGTAACTGACAAAGGAAATTCTAATAAGGAAGAAAATTCCGATGCAGTAACTAATAACGAAATTTCTAATGTAGAGGAAAATGAAAATCAAGGAACTGATAACGAACATTCTAATACAGAGGAAAACTCCAATGCAGGAACTGATAACAAAATTTCCAATGGAGATAGAAAATGAAAATCAACGAACTGATAATGATATGTTTAGTAAAGAGGAAAATAATATCTAGTATGAAGGAAAATGAATATGCCGGAACTGATAACGAAAATTATAATACAGAAGCAAGTAAAGATGAAGGAGCTTATAACGCAAGTGCAAATAAAAGGGACAATAAAAAACGGCAGATGATGAAAAAAAACTTAAATTAAATGGAACATTAAAGAAGGCAAAAGCCCAGTCTTTTCTCTCTTTTTTTTCTTTCTTTCTTTATTTTTTCCAGGCTTAATGTATAAGTGTTTTTCAATCAGGAGAATTTATATACTAAGAGGATATTTTTTCGTTTTTCGTGAAATATGGAATATGTTTTCACGAAACATGATAAAATGTCACATATTTTCACGAGCCGGGATGGCGAGTGAAAAGTCACGGCTCTTGAAAATATGTGGCATTTTATCATGTTGAGTGAAAATATATACCATATTTCACGGAAAAATAAAAAAAAATAACCTTTTGATTTAATTTCATTATCAAAGAAAAATGGTAACGAACACCCTTGTTTGCTACGCAACTGCATTGTACAGCGCGCAGAATATATTTACGTTCTGTTTTGCACGCGCTGTTTGGCGCTATATTGTGACGTCACGTAAACAACTCTTAAATTTAAACGTCTGTACAGCATTAATGACTCAATAAAAGATATTATGGTCGGACTTATTTTCTTAGTTAGACCATTTTTTATTATTCTAGATAGTTTTCAAAACAAAATTTAACAAAAAGTTTTTTTTTTATTTAATCAGATAAGAACGCAATTCATTCATAAAAGGAGCGCGGCAATGACGTCTTTTAAAGCACGCGACTTGTATTACATGAGGGGTGTAAGCACCGGTGTAAACGGTAGATAATCCTGTCTGATATGCAAGAAAATCCTGTCTGATATGCAAGAAACAATTAGGAGTGCTTTGCTTGAGGTTCAGTATAATTTTGTAAAATTTAAGCTGAAACTGATCAAGAAGAAAATTGAGGTGCATATATCTTCCCTACGATTCCTGTCCCTAGAAAATATTATAACCTTTGTTTTTGCAAAGTTCACTTTTATATTCTAAACATTACAATATTCTAGCATAGCATTTAATGCAGACTGAAGCTCATCTGCATGTTCTGCTAAAACGACAGTATCATCAGCATATCGGAGCAGAAAGAGTTTAAAACTACTTCTAAGTTCTCATTACTTAATAAGTTTTTCAAATCATCAGCAAGTGTATATATAGACCAGCATATTTGTCAGACATATAAACTGCAAAAAACTGGAAAGCTTATTAGCAGCTTTTACACTTTACTTTGCTTCATCATACATATTATGCAAACTTTTCAAATAATTACCATTAATATCATTCTTGATCAGTTTCTGCAATAACAGCTCTAGAAATTACGCTTTATACAACGATATAGATTTTTACCCCTTGGTAAATGAAAATCAGAGAGAATATATGATCTATTATATTGTAAAGAGTTTAATCACGGACTTTAATTGACATCCGTGGTTTAATTAATAAAAATAACTTTTTATAGGTGTATGCCTCGATCTGTATTATCAGGGTCATTTACATCCCCTACAATGGTAAAATCACTCCTTAACTCCATATCTCGGGAAATATACCAGAGTCAAGAATAATATTAAACAATTTGCAAAACAAAAGAAGCATAACATCATCAGAACTTTTCAAATACGCATTCAAAATGTTATGCTTTACCATGCGTGCAAGATTGTGCTATACTTGGTGGTAGTTGGAAGTCCTTTTCGCCAGTTTTCAGAAGTGTCTGCCAGCCAGTCAAGAAAATTCGTTTTCATGTAAATTATAATTGATTTCATTAATAAGAAAGCCTTCATTCATATTGTCACTGAGTCAAAATGAATGCAATCATTAACCCACTGTCAAAATTTAACAGGTAAGTGTTGTTTATGAACTAGACTTTCACCATTATCCATTAAAACTTGACCTTGATACGGTGTAATACATTCGGATAGTCAAAGAAAGCGGATAGATCCAGAGTTTAGAGAACTGCCAGACTAGATTTTTGGCTTGCAGCCACGGCTGCAAGCCATTTCATATGGAAAACTTGTTCCGGTTAGGTGGTTTCCTGCTTACATCTGTTGGTGCATGATTGAACTGGAAACCAGCTGCAATCGTGCTAATCGCCACTTTTCGGCCTTTTCCGTCACTCTTCGGATTAAAGATAATAGCCGATGTAGTTCCGATTGCAATCGTGACAATTCGGGCGATTCCGTCATACTGCGGAATCAGACGAAGTAATATTACGGAAATCTAAGCTATTTTAGTTACTTCGGTAATCCCAGTTTATATAAATAGGATTTCTATTTTTACTCGATTTATCGGTTTAAACCGTTATAAATTATAAACGAAACTGTTCCGTTTCAATTGTTTTTCAAGACGCAAAAGTTAGTTTCTTTTATAATTGTTTTTTTTGTCTGTATTAGTTTTATACAATAGAGTAGTATTCCGTCTTCAAGGTCGGTCCTGCTTACCAAATCATGCATGGTCGAGTTATATTTAGATCTACTGAACGCAATTCAACTTCTTGGTGAGGTAATCTAAAATTAGCCCATGCATATCATTAACCTTGCCACGTGCTAAACTACAGATAGCGCATCGTATTGATCGTGTAACATAGTTGATACATGCTTATTATATTGGTACCACGTAACGAAGTATTTTAGTGCATTTACTTGTCTGTAAAGCAAACGAATGATTTCTCTGCGAAAAAGGGGAAATGAAATGTGCACACTTGTTTCCCTTCAGTATCCACGTTTTACGATTGATCATTTTCTTTATTAGTTTTATACAATAGAGAATAGATTTCAAATCGTTTTGACAAAAAATAGATATCTATTCGTTTTTCCAAAAAACAAAACAAAAATTTTTTAAAGGGTTGGGATGAAGGCACAACTGTGCAAGCCTTTCCTTTTAAAAGGAAACTTTATTTGCTGTCATTTGTGACCCTCTGTATAAAAAAATTGGGGTCATTTGAAATTATGAAGGAAGTAAATTCTAAAAAAGTACATTTTGGAACTATTTGATTTCACATGTTAACTTCAGTTTCTCACTGAACGAAAAATCTTCTTTAAAGAAAGAACCAAGGCTTATTTGCATTAAATTGATTAAAACATTTAAACTGTCAGACATCTGTTTATATCAGAAACTTTGATATTTTGGCCACTTACAAAAATCATTTGTTTACCCAGAGTCCAGACCGTACATGTCTAAATCCCAGATATGGTGACTGATTGTAGAATGGTTAAAAATGGGATAGAAAATGTGCCTATAACACTACAGAATAGGTTAGCAATTTATACATTTACCGGAAATAAACAAATTTAGGATACTCAAACAATTTTTGCCGATTTAAACGGTATAGCGCTTATAACTTAATGAAAAGATATCCAATTAAGGTAGATTATGGCTGTGTCATAGAAAACGCGCTTTGCAAATTTCAGTGCATCATGCGTGAAGTAATTGTGTCAACAACGCAAGAAGCTCAGAGTCTATTCTAGGATGCACGATTGCGCGATTCACGCTAGTATTTCACAGATCGTGCACAATTCAAAATCATGTGCGTGAAAATCCCGCATCGTTAATAAAATCGTAAAACTTCCATCCCGCATTATATTTGGTTGTTTTGTTTACATTTACACCGAAACCAAAGGGAGGTAACTGTAAGCTAATTATAATAATTTAGTACCGTATGGTTCTGGTTACGGGAGTTGACGAAAATTAACGGAATGTTCCGTACCCACCAGAACTAGTGTGCTAAGTATGACAGTTGGGCGCCATTTTAGTGTAGTAAATAATCAAGAAAAATTAGGCAATTCCTAGCTTGACTACGATCTAGACGTTAAAGGTAGGTTGATTGTTTGTATTGTCAATCCCTTTATAATCAATCGCGACAGTTCTATAATAATTTGTTTTTGTTTAAAAATTAAGGGGGGACAACTTCTGCTGCCTTAAATAAATATTTTCGTTTTAATTATTTCATCGGTTGAACGCCTCGGTGTAAACTTAATGCCTAATTTAGCATTTGCAGTTTATATTGTCACCCCTTGATTTTGAAAATCACCCCCTTTTTTGAAACAGAGGGGGGAAAATCACCCCTATTTTTGAATTCCTAGAATAGACACTGGGAATGATAGTTCCAATATTTCGGCTGCCATCGATTTAACAAACTAATATAACATACTGTACAATAGTTGTCCGTCTTTCAGTCTCAACCAGTTAGACGCAAAACTGTAGGAAATCGATAGTCTCGGTGTTAAACTATAGTCCAATATATCAGACCTTATGGTCTTGTTATAATTGGTGTCGGTCAAGCTTTTCCCAGTAGCAAAAATATCTCAAAGCAACGTCATATTTATAGGACTATAATAGTATATTTCCCACAAGCAACTATTACCTTCTCCACTTGAAACAGTGATGGAATTCTGTAAACTGTCACTTATTAATAATTACCATTGACTAGTTCAAGCATTTTTTGGAAATCCTTTTGGAAAATTGACTTTTTTTTTACATTAGAACAAGTGACTCATTAAGTTCCAGGATTAAATTTTTTTTTAAAGAAACAGGATAACAAACTATAATCAAACAATTGTTCACAAATTCATTTTTGAAATAAAATTCATGTAACTGTTTATGTTATAAAAGAGCAGAGAGATTGGTCATGCTTGTAAATGAAAAAATTTCATTTTGTTTGCACAATTTCATCCATTCATGCTGTATTCATTACTACAACAAACAGTTTCCTTTAAATTAAAGCATTTTAAAAAAGGAAAATCAAATCTGTATACTGAGATACAGTTCAACACTCATTTTACTCACGGTCCAAGGTTTTTTGTTTTTTTTCCAGGATTTTGGGAATATGAGGGGCGTCCTTGGCCGAGTGGTTAAGGTCGTTGACTTCAAACCACTTGCCCCTCACCGCTGTGGGTTCGAATCCCGATAGGGACTTTGGATTCTTTCATGTGAGGAAGCTATCCAGCTAGCTTACGGAACATCGGTGGTTCTACTCAGGTGCCCGTTCGTGCCTGAAATAATGCACGGAAGGGCACCTGAGGTCTTCCTCCATCAGTAAAGCTGGAACGTCGAGATATGACCTATACTGTATCGATGTGACGTAAAACCCAAAACAAACAAATTGGGAATATGACCCATTCCCATAGAATTCGGAATTTCAGCAATGTTTTGTTAAAAATTGGGAAAAATATGCATGACTTAAATTTTGCAGTGATTATATGTGCAAAGCATTTTAAAACATTTAAACCCCATAACAGTGAAGAAGCCCTTATTTTCAAAGTTTTTATGATTTGTTATTCAATATGTTTATTTTGTAAATTTCAATTGGGAATTTTTTCCTGTGGATTGAGAAAATAATATACTATTTTCAATTGGGAATATGACCGAACATCGGCTATAAAGTAAGCCAAAAAATCCAAGTGGTCTTCACTGTGGAGTAGTCTAATATAAAACGAATAGTTATAAAACAAAATGCTTTTGATATACACATATCAAGGTCTAATTGGCTGTCACACTTACGAACTTTCGCTATACGTATATGCAGTATTTCGATAGAGCGGAAATCAGTGCGCGAGCATGCGCTTTGCCATATCTCGTTCAGTTACCGCTCACGTTTTAAACTCGGTTGCTATGAAGCGACAGTTTTAAACTCGGTTGCTATGAAGCAACACTAAGTGTACATGGCTTTTACAACTAAAATATCAGACAAACACATTAAAACAATACACATAAACTACACATAGCTGTTTTCCATATTAATATTTTCCATTTGAAACTAAATTAGGTAGTCAAACAAATATCTAAATATTCTTACCGATTTAATGTATTGTTTACATGTGATGACAGCAACGCTGTGTGATATATTACTTTCGGTTCAGAAAATTCATTTGTTTACCATCAAAACTCATATGTTTACCATAGGAACCATATATAGATAGAAAGCAAATTAAACAAAGGTAAAGAAAAAATTGTTCGTTTTTGAACAAAAAATCGAATAAATAAATACAAAGTCTTTTTAAAATGTCCCTTCTTTGAGTTCATTTGAAAGGGAATAATTTGGTGGAATTTTAGACAGGGACAGGGAGTTATCTTACATGGCTAGGGAAAATGGCCGACTGAAATCATGCAAGCAAGTTTGTAAGTGTGTCATTAAGGAGGTCTACATGATTCATAAAATTTATGTCTAAATTATTTGGTAAGATTTGTGATAACTTTGTCATAAAATTGCTGCACAAAACCTTTATGGTGACAAAGACCTAGTGACTAGTCATGACCAGTAGATAGCCCCTATTGATTTTTGGTCACTAGGTCAAAAGTCAGTCACAATAACCTAGCAACATGACTATTTGCCTGCAGATAGGGGGCATATATCTTTTACAAACAGGTTTTATTTCTTCTCGTGAACTTCAAAAACAGTATTAATTCTCGCTCGTTGATATGCGGCCACTCGTGATAATACTGTTTTTTAAGCTCACTCAATGAAATAAAATTTTGTTTTACACACAAACAAACAAATATCCTCTTTTTCTTTGAAAATGATTTATTCCATTATTATAGGTAATAAGATATTCTAATAAATAAACATTTTCATTACATTTAATTGTAAAAAAATATTATAAATGTTAACAAATGTTAATTATAACAAATGTGATTCAATGTTTAAACATTAAAGCCTTATTTATTGCACAGTTCCATATGCCAGGGCTTTTTTTCACAGGTTGGGGAAGCAGCCCAGCCCTTAATTTTGGGGAAAAATTACACGGTATATTTGCAAAAGGGGAAGAAAAAACTTGATGTAAATTCAATTTTTGGGGAAAACTGCCTTATTTTAAAGAAATTTTTTTTGGGGAAAAGGCCCTGTATGCAGATTTTAACTTAAATATCAGTTGACCGAGATTTTGGCATAATGCCTGCCTTTCATCCATAGTTATCAATATTATCAGTCCTCTGTTATTTTGAGCCCTTAAACTCAGGTGAGCAAAAAATGCCTTTCATGGCCCTTTTGTCCTTACATTGTAAATAATTAAAAAATTGGATTCAGTAAATAAATATATCTGCACATTGTCTTTTATTTATGACATTGACCCCAAAGTTCACTAGACACTATAGAAACAAAAGAACAATTTCTGTCTAGTATTGTTGTGTGCAGTGGACCATCATTTTTTTCACAAATAAAATCTTGTTTTTGTAACCTGAACCAAGCTTATATATATGATGTGTTACTTACTTTCAGACTCTCTATACAGATTCTACAGAACAGAAGTTTTTCTAACAAAGGTAATACACAATGTATATTATTTATCATTGGCACTTTTTTCATTTCATTGCATTTGACTTTTTCAAGGAAAATAAAAGAGCTTATAATTGCTAAAGTCATGTGGTCGTTGACATTGCTAATGCCATTGCTGTTGTCTTCTAAAAATTTATTGTTGGTCATAATCTTTTTATTAACCAGGTTTTCAACGAAAACCGGGTTATTGTAATGCCGAAGTCGGCGGGCGGGCGGGCAGGCGTCAACTTTTGGTTTCCGCTCAATAACTTGAGTTTGCTTTGGCCTATTGACACCAAACTTGGTGTGTAGGTAGCTTATATCAAGAGGCAGCTTGGGATTGCTACCCAGGTGTCTGTGATCAAGGTCAAGGTCACTGTTACTAAAAATAGAAATTCAGTTTCCGCTCAATAACTTGAGTTTGCTTTGGCCTATTGACACCAAACTTGGTGTATGGATAGCTTATATCAAGAGGCAGCTTGGGATTGCTACCCAGGTGTCTTTGATCAAGGTCAAGGTCACTGTTACTAAAAATAGAAATTCAGTTTCTGCTCAATAACTTGAGTTTGTTTTGACCTATTGACACCAAACTTGGTGTATGGATAGCTTATATCAAGACGCAGCTTGGGATTGCTACCCAGGTGTCTGTGATCAAGGTCAAGGTCACTGTTACTAAAAATAGAAATTCAGTTTCTGCTCCATAACTTGAGTTTGATTTGGCCTATTGACACCAAACTTGGTGTATGGATAGCTTATATCAAGAGGCAGCTTGGGATTGCTACCCAGGTGTCTGTGATCAAGGTCAAGGTCACTGTTACTAAAAATAGAAATTCAGTTTCCGCTCAATAACCTGAGTTTGCTTTGACCTATTGACACCAAACTTGGTGTATGGATACCTTATATCAAGAGGCAGCTTGGGATTGCTACCCAGATGTCTGTGATCAAGGTCAAGGTCACTGTTACTAAAAAAAGAAATTCAGTTTCTGCTCAATAACTTGAGTTTCCTTTGACCTATTGACACCAAACTTTGTGTATGGGTAGCTTATATCAAGAGGCAGCTTGGGATTGCTACCCAGATGTCTGTGATCAAGGTCAAGGTCACTGTTACTAAAAATAGAAATTCAGTTTCTGCTCAATAACTTGAGTTTGCTTTGGCCTATTGACACCAAACTTGATGAATGGGTAGCTTATATCAAGGGGTAGCTTGGGATTGCTACCCAGGTGTCTGTAATCAAGGTCAAGGTCACTGTTACTAAAAATAGAAATTCAGTTTCCGCTCAATAATTTGAGTTTGCTTTGGCCTATTGACACCAAATTTGGTGTTTTGGTAGCTTATATTAAGAGGCAGCTTGGGATTGATACCCAGGTGTCTGTGATTAAGGTCAAGGTCACTGTTACTAAAAATAGAAATTCAGTTTCAGCTCAATAACTTGAGTTTGCTTTGGTCTATTGACACCAACTTGGTGTATGGATAGCTTTTATCAAGAGGCAGCTTGGGATTGCTATCCAGGTGTCTGTGATCAAGGTCAAGGTCACTGTTACTAAAAATAGCAATTCACTTTCTGCTCAAAAACCTGAGTTTGCTTTGGCCTATTGACACCAAACTTGATGAATGGGTAGCTTATATCAAGAGGCAGCTTGGGATTGCTACCCAGGTGTCTGTGATCAAGGTTAATGTATTTAGTTTTCATGTTATAACTTGAGTTTGCTTTGACCTTTTGACACCAAACTTGCTGAGTGGCAGCTTTGGATTGCCACTTAGATATCTGGGAGCAAGTTCAAGGTCATTTGCTTACAATAGAATTTTCAGCTTCTACTCAATAACTTCAGTGCACTTTGACCTATTGATTCCTGTCACATCAAAACTTGGTCGTTGAAAACCTGGTTTTCGTCGCATTGCGGCGCTTCTTGTTTCTCAATGGATTGCCTTCATACTTGGACACAAAAACCCTTTGGACAAGACATTCAAGTTGAGCAGACAAAACTTGACTTTCACTCATATATTACCTTGACCTTTGGTCAAATATTTGAATTTTGCTTGATTTTTTGCTATAATTGGCTTTATATTTATTTATGAATAGATAACAATAATCTTTACGACAAGACCTTTATAAAAACCAAATTGATTATGACCTCTACTCATCAATGACCTTGATCTTGAAGGTCAAAAAATTAAATTTTGCTTGTTAGCTCTCCTGGTTAAAAAAAAAAGGTCACACAGACAGAATATGGAAAAACCTTGTTTTATATTGATGTAATATTTTCAACCCAAGTACCCTTGAAGTATGCATGCCCGTGTGAGCATGTGTGTGTGTTTGCATATGTATGTTTGTCTGTTCAATGTATAGATTATAGTAAACTTAAAAAATATTGTTAAAAACTAGACCAATTTCAACTAAATTTGACGTGATTGTTCCTCCAAAGTTGTTCATAGAATTTAATTCCATGCAGAAATCTGATTGTCATGGCAACCAAAAGGAATTTAAAGAAAAATAAATCTTTTAATAAAGACCCATAAGGCGGTAGAGCAAAGATAAAGATTTTTTATGTTTTCAGAAATAGAAATATGATTAATTGCAAAGATAGTATTTAAGAAGAATGAGTTGAATTTTTAAGATTAATACAGTTATACTATGGCCTTTTTGTATCTTAACATTAGACACATCTGTACATTGTCTTTCATCTGAAATGTTGAAATATATGACCTTGACCCCCAAACTCACTAGACACAACTGCATTGATGCAAAGTTCATATGCATTAGTAATATCTACTTCTTTCCTACTATTTTGTGCTGTATTAATGCAATGGGATGACATAGCATTTTTTCACAAATGCAATCTTGTTTGCTTTAATTATTATTTACCTTGTTTGACTTGTTTGATATTTGCCTTTTTTTGAAGGTTTTTACTTTAAACTTGAATTATTTGTTGACTATCAAAGTCTGATAAACATGTTTGCTCTCTTTTCTATGTTTTATTTTACTACCCAGCACTGAGGAAAGTGGAATGGGCTGTCAGTATACTTGCAAAACAGCATTGGTTAATGCAGGAAACAGACTGAATAGTTAAAACATTATTAAATTTTATTAAAATTTTCAAGCTGGGATTTAAATAGGTTTAAGTTAAAAGTATTGCAAATTACTCATAATTTATCATTACTTCAACAATTTTGATGTTACAGCATCAATAGAGAAGATTTTGATTGCAAACAGAGGTGAGATAGCTTGTAGAGTGATAAAGACAGCTAGAAGTCTTGGTATTAAGACTGTATCTGTTTACAGTGATGCAGACAGAAATGCCCTACATGTTTCTATGGTATGTAATTACATATTACTTCATTTTATTACATAACAAATGTTAAGGATTAATTTGATTTTTTGACATACAGGGAACAGTCTTCACTGTCTGTGCTTGGATACTTAGGCTAGAGGAACAATAGGTAACTGTACTTTCTCTTTGATGTCATTTATTCATGTGGCTATTTTCCTTTCATGTGGCAAAAAAGAACAATAGAGAGAACAATAGAGTAGTCACATAAGCAACATCTGCACTACCAAATAGGGATAGTGAGGGCGATATCTAACTGTAAAAACAACAACAAAAGAGAACAATGAAGTTCATTCTATAATAATAGAGGGAGGGGCCGATTGCCTCAAAGTAGGTCACAGGAGTAAAAAATAGAAAAAAATGTTATTAACACCTGAAAGAATTTTGGCTTATATTGTTATGCACCTGGTTGTCTGTCTGTTAGCAGGTTTTATTTCCAGTCTGTATTTTTAGCTCGACTATTCGATAAGAATGAAGTAGAGCTATTGCAGTCACCCGAGCGTCGGCGTCTGCGTCGGCGTAACCACTTACACTTCAGCCTCATTAAAACGCTCATGTTGGGGTCGAATGTCTCAACACCGCGTTCTAATGAGTCTCTCATTAGAACGCTCATTGCGAAATTACCACATTACCCCACCCACCACATATATAAATATAACGCTGATTTTTTTTACTTACTGTTCAATGAATATCGACATTATCTTTTTCTAAAACCATTCAATGATGTAAACATATATTATATTCACAAATAATACTAATTATATTTAAAAGAAACGAAAAACTTTGGAAATAAAATTATAAATCATGAATGTAGCGTAAACAGCCATTACTGTAATGACGTATGATTAACTAGGGGACACAACTAAAGCTGGACTAACACTGTAATTTACAGTCCAGCTTTAGTTGTGTCCCCTAGTAAATCAAACGCCAATTAATTCCTGTCGTGGCCGCTCTATTTACATTGCAGGATTTTAAATTGATTTTGGGCTGGGTTATTTAATTCAGCGAGGTTTACATGTCAAAGATATGTGTGTGAATTTTAGTTTAATTATACTCACCACGGGTTGCCAATGTCACAGTTATGATATGAATTTGAGATTTTGGAAACAATTTGAAGACAGGTAAAACAACAAAAGAGCGGATAAACGCTTAGCTGGACATGTTTTTCACACCTTTGGCGCTCATAAATATGGTAATAACAATTGTTTATTGTACTTGACTGTCAAATTGAGCAAGCGTTATAGCGTGCTATAAATCTAAGTCTACTTAAAAAAAAAATTTTTTTTTTTTGGGAAGTTTTTTTTTTTTAATTTTTTTTTTTTTTTGGGGAGCCAAGGTCTATGAGCGCTATACTGAGATTAGTGTTATAGTGAAGTGTGAGCTATCGAGGCTACAGTGTATGTTAAAGTTTTTGTAATAGTTCAAATATTTTCAAAGTCCATTGACATATGGCTTTGAAACTTTGCACATTTGTTCACCATCATGACCCCAACCTGTAGATAGGAGGAGGTAACTCTATCAAGCATTTTGACAGAATTATGCCCCTTTTTCGACTTAGAATTTACATTAAAGTTTTTGTAATACCTCAAATATTTTCAAAGTCCATTGACATATGGCTTTGAAACTTTGCACACTTGTTCACCATCATGACCCCAACTTGTAGACAGGAGGAGGTAACTCTATCAAGCATTTTGACAGAATTATGCCTCTTTTTCGACTTAGAATTTACGTTAAAGTTTTTGTAATACCTCAAATATTTTCAAAGTCCATTGACATATGGCTTTTAAACTTTGCACACTTATTCACCATCATGACCCCAACCTGTAGACAGGAGGAGGTAACTCTATCAAGCATTTTGACAGAATTATGCCCCTTTTTCGACTTAGAATTTATGTTAAAGTTTTTGTAATACCTCAAATATTTTCAAAGTTCATTGACATATGGCTTTGAAACTTAACACACTTGTTCACCATCATTACCCCAACCTGTAAACAGGAGGAGGTAACTGTATCAAGCATTTTTTTTTACTATCAAGCACTTAGAATAGTCGAGCGTTGCTGTCCTACCGACAGCTCTTGTTTGAACCTGTTGAAGGAAATTAAAACTATGATTTTAAATCATAAATGTTTTTTTATGTTTTTATAATTAGGTTATGCTTAATTGAAAAGATAGTATTTAAGAAAAAGTAACTGTACCAGCATTTCAAAATTTAATACCGTGAGCCATGCAATACAGTAAATACTTTTTGTAAAAATGTTTAATTTTCGGATCAATTATTGCACTATGGCCTTTGTATCTCTTTACATTAAACACATCTGCACATTGTCTTTCATTTGACATGCTGAAAAATTGACCCCCAAATTCACTAGACACTTCTGCATTACGGCAAAGTTCAATTGTATAGAAACAAAAAAACATTCTACTTCTGTTATATTAATGCGGTGGCATAGCATTTTTTCACAAATGCAGTCTTGTTTTTACTTAATACATACACAATAATTATGTACATATTAATGCAAATTTATATTACGAGAAACACAGCTAAGTATCGTGATCATAAACTATCAACAATTTACATACATACAGGTTAACTCTGAATAGTTTCAGGGCTTTGAACTTTGTATAAAAGTGGTTTGTGTTGACATTGAATAGTTTAAGGACCTTGAACTTAAAATGAAAAAAAATTGTTTGTGAGCTAAATAATATTATAACATTTGAAATTTTGGCTGCATGCTTGGACATTCGTGGCATGACAACACATTTATTGTTTCTCTTAGGTGGCTAAAAGAACAAAAGAGAGAACAATAGAGTAGCCATATAAGTATCTGTCAGTCTGTCTGTACTAGGTTAACCTTAAACAGCAAGTTCTACCTGTACAATACCTCAATTATTTACACACTTATCAGTACAAAGTACATGATCTAAACAAGTTACATAACTATGGCTTCCATTTTTTCCAAGTTATTGCCTTAATTTCAGCACTTTGAAAATGAATATGGTTAACCTTATATTTACACTAATTGCTTAATAATTTGCACACTTACTAATTAATACAAAGTACATGGTATTGCCAAATTATTATATGCCCGAAAGATTTTCGGGCATATTATGTTATACCCCCTGGCGTCCGTCCGTACGAACCCAGAGGTACTTGTGTGACTTGGAAAACAATGGGTAACAGTAAATTCTCTTTGATCCTATTCATTCCGTTTTTACTTGTGTGTCTTTTTTTAAGCCTTGTGTGACTAAAAATGGCCAAAAAAATCAAAGGAAAAGTCACATAAGTACCATTTTGTGAGTCCGTCGGTCTGTCCGTCCGTCCGTCTGTCTGTCTGTCCACACTCACAGGACAGTAATTATGTGGCTAGAGGGACAATAGGTAACTGTTCTTTCTCTTTGATGTCATTCATTCCGAAATGCTTTTATGTGGCTATTTTCTTTTGTGTGGCTAAAAAGAACAATAGAGAGAACAATAGAGTAGCCACATTATTACTCTCCTGTTAGAATGTCCGTCCGTCATACTTTCGTGTCCGGTCCATAACTTTGTCATTTATCAAAGGAATCTGAAATAACTTGGCACAAATGTTTGTTATAATAAGACGATGTGTCATGCGCAACAACTGGTCACCTACCTCCAAGGTCAAGATCGCACTTAGAGGTCAAAGATTAACATAGTCTGTTATAGGGTATATTTTGTGTCCGGTCCATAACTTTTTCATAGATCGAAAGATTTTGTAAATACTTGCCACAAATAGTCACTATAATAAGACAATGTGTCATGCACAACACCTGCATCCCTACCTCCAAGTTCAAGGTCACACTTAGAGGTCAAAAATTAACATAGTATGTTTAAGGGTATATTTTGTGTCTGATCAAGAACTTATCTTAGGGATTTTAAAATAACTAGGCACAAATAGTCACAATAAGAAGACGATATGTCAAGAACAGTACCTCCAAGGTCAAGGTCACACTTAGAAATTAAGGTTAACAGTCTGTTATATAGTATTTTTTGTGTCCTGTCCATAACTTCTTCATAGATCAAGGGATTTTGAAAATACTTGGCACAAAAAGTCACAATGATAAGATGATATGTCATGTGTATCACCTGTGTCCCTACCTCCAAGGTCAAGGTCACACTTAGAGGTCAAAGATTTACATAGTCTGTTACAGGGTATATTTTGTGTCCGATCTATAACTCCTTTATAGTTCAAGGGATTTTGAAAATACTAGGCACAAATAGTTACAATAATAAGACTATATGTCATGCATAACACCTGCACCCCTACCTCCAAGGTCACACTTAGAGGTAAAGCTTAACATGATAATTTTTTTAAATCCGTGTTTCATTTTTATTTCTTTAATAAATTTATTGTTGCATTTGCAGATCTAGCATTGATCATAAGTTTTGACTGAAAGTACTGAGATCCATACTTCAATCTTTTGAAATAGCACAATTTTATGCTTTGTATAAAAATTCCCCGAGGCGGGGAATGTTGGTAAACTCTGTTACAAATTCTTTGTTACTGACAAGAATCTGAGCTAATGCTGTGGTCGGGGCATTTGTGTTTAACAAACACATTCTTGTTTCTCATGCTTTTGTTTTGAGATACTGTTGTATTAAGTGACCATTTATGGTGTTGCTCTGTACTTGTTTGTGACCATCATCACCACTCTCAGACAGGTACTCAAAATAGTCAAGCATGCCGTCTTACAGACAACTTTTGTAAGTTTTGTGTTTTCGCAAACCCAAAAAGTTGACCCTTCTGTGAAAATTTGGCTCAGTCAAATACAATACAGTAAAATCCACTTATCACTTAATAATAACAATAAACTGCTTATGTTGACGGGGTCCTTACGCTTACTCTTGTTTTCAAGTTGCTCCTCTGATTTGTATATAACAGAATAAATTGTTGCTCCTCTGATCTGGATATAACAAAATAAATTGTTGCTCCTCTGATCTGGATATAACAAAATAAATTGTTGCTCCTCTGATCTGGATATAACAAAATAAATTGTTTGCTCCTCTGATCTGGATATAACAAAATAAATTGTTGCTCCTCTGATCTGGATATAACAAAATAAATTGTTGCTCCTCTGATCTGGATATAACAAAATAAATTGTTGCTCCTCTGATCTGGATATAACAAAATAAATTGTTGCTCCTCTGATCTGGATATAACAAAATAAATTGTTTGCTCCTCTGATCTGGATATAACAAAATAAATTGTTGCTCCTCTGATCTGGATATAACAAATAAATTGTTGCTCCTCTGATCTGGATATAACAAAATAAATTGTTTGCTCCTCTGATCTGGATATAACAAAATAAATTGTTGCTCCTCTGATCTGGATATAACAAAATAAATTGTTGCTCCTCTGATCTGGATATAACAAAATAAATTGTTGCTCCTCTGATCTGGATATAACAAAATAAATTGTTTGCTCCTCTGATCTGGATATAACAAAATAAATTGTTGCTCCTCTGATCTGGATATAACAAAATAAATTGTTGCTCCTCTGATCTGGATATAACAAAATAAGTTGTTGCTCCTCTGATCTGGATATAACAAAATAAATTGTTGCTCCTCTGATCTGGACATAACAAAATAAATTGTTGCTCCTCTGATCTGGATATAACAAAATAAATTAGTTGCATCTCAGATCTGGATAAATTGTTGCTCCTCTGATCTGGATATAACAAAATAAATTGTTTGCTCCTCTGATCTGGATAAAACAAAATAAATTGTTTGCTCCTCTGATCTGGACATAACAGAATAAATTGTTGCTCTTCTGATCTGGATATAACAAAATAAATTGTTGCTCCTCTGATCTGGGTATAACAAAATAAATTGTTACTCCTCTGATCTGGATATAACTGGATATAACAAAATAAATTTTTTGCTCCTCTGATCTGGATATAACAAAATAAATTGTTGCTCCTCTGATCTGGACATAACAAAATAAATTGTTGCTCCTCTGATCTGGACATAACAAAATAAATTGTTTGCTCCTCTGATCTGGATATAACAAAATAAATTGTTTGCTCCTCTGATCTGGATATAACAAAATAAATTGTTTGCTCCTCTGATCTGGATATAACAAAATAAATTGTTTGCTCCTCTGATCTGGATATAACAAAATAAATTGTTTGCTCCTCTGATCTATACATAACAAAATAAATTGTTTGCTCCTCTGATCTGGACATAACAAAATAAATTGTTTGCTCCTCTGATCTGGATATAACAAAATAAATTGTTGCTCCTCTGATCTGGATATAACAAAATAAATTGTTTGCTCCTCTGATCTGGATATAACAAAAGAAATTGTTGCTCCTCTGATCTAAATGTTGATAAAAGCAGAGTTTACTGTTTATTTAAAGAATTTAAAGAAAATTCAGTGTTTAAAACTTTTATGAAAATATCTTATATTATCTGTCATGTATAGTCATACTACATTGTTACCATGGTTATAGGCTGATGAGGCTTATCATATAGGACCTGCAGCAGCAAACCAGAGCTATCTGTGTCAAGATAAAATCCTTGATGTTGCTAGGAAGTCAGGAGCTCAAGCCATCCATCCAGGCTATGGTTTCTTGTCAGAAAATGTAGAGTTTGCAGAACTATGTGGGGAGAAAGGAATTATTTTTATTGGACCACCCTCAACAGCTATCAGAGATATGGGAATTAAAAGGTTTATTTTACTTTTCACTATTCTTTCTGTATAATCAATCTCACATTATTTTTTAAATAGATTTACCAAAAAAAAAAATAATTATGCAAAAGTTTTTGACGCATGTACAACACATTTCAAACCTGCAAAATTCCAAATATTGTAGGCCTGACTTTTTTTGTCCCCCGCCTTTTCGAAGAAAAAAGGGGGATATAGAAATAGGCTCCGTCCGTCTGTCTGTCCGTCCGTCCGTCTGTCCGTCCGTCACACTTTCGTGTCCGGTCCATAACTTTGTCATTTATGAAAGGAATTTGAAATAACTTGGCACAAATGTTTATTATAATAAGACGATGTGTCATGCGCAACAACCAGACCCCTACCTCCAGGGTCAAGGTCACACTTGCTCATTCAAGGTCAAAATTGCCTATTTGAGGGTATATGTCGTGTCCGGTCCATAACTTTCTTATCTATGAAGGGATTTTGTAAATACTTGCCATAATTGTTCACAATAATCAGAAGATGTGTCATGCGCAAAAACCAGTCACCTACCTTCAAGGTCAAGGTCACACTTGGAGGTCAAATATTAACATAGTCTGTTACAGGGTATATTTCGTGTCCGGTCCATAACTTTCTTATCTATGAAGGGATTTTGTAAATACTTGCCATAATTGTTCACAATTATCAGATGATGTGTCATGCGGAAAAAGCAGTCACCTACCTTCAAGGTCAAGGTCACACTTGGAGGTCAAATATTAACATAGTCTGTTACAGGGTTTATTTCGTGTCCGGTCCATAACTTTCTTATCTATGAAGGGTTTTTGTAAATACTTGCCATAATTGTTCATAATAATCAGACGATGTGTCATGCGCAAAAACCAGTTGCCTACCTTCAACGTCAAGGTCACACTTGGAGGTCAAATATTAACATAGTCTGTTACAGGGTATATTTCGTGTCCGGTCCATAACTTTGTCATTTATCAAAGGAATTTGAGATAACTTGGCACAAATGTTTGTTATAATAAGACGATGTGTCATGCGCAACAACCAGACCCGTACCTTCAGGTTCAAGGTCGTACTTGTTCATTCAAGGTCAACATTGTCTATTTGAGGGTATATGTCGTGTCCAGTCCATAACTTTCTTATCTATGAAGGACTTTTGTAAATACTTGCCATAATTGTTAACAATAATCAGATGATGTGTCATGCACAAAAACCGGTCACCTACCTCCAAGGTCAAGGTCACACTTGGAGGTCAAATACTTACATAGTCTGTTACAGGGTATATTTTGTGTCAGGTCTATAATTTTTTCATAGATCAAAGGATTGTGAAAATACTTCGCACAAATAGTCACAATAATAAGAGGATGTGTCATGCGCAACACCTGCATCCCTACCTCCAAGGTCAAGGTCACACTTAGAGGTCAAAAATTAACATAGTCTGTTATAGGGTATATTTTGTGTTGAATCTAGAACTTCTTCATACTTCAAGGGATTTTGAAATAACTTGGCACAAATAGTCACAATAATAAGACGTTATGTCATGCACAACACCTGCTCCCCTACCTCCAAGGTCAAGTTCACACTTAGAGGTCAAAGCTTAACATGATAGATTTTTAAATTCCGTGTTTCATTTTATTTTTTTAACAAATTTATTGTTACATTTGCAGATCTAGCATTGATCATAATTTTGGACTGAATGTCCTGAGATCCATACCTCTATCTTTTGAAATAGCACAATTTTATGCTTCATATATAACTCCCGGGGCGGGGGACATTGGTAACTCTGTTACAAATTCTTGTTATCCAAAAACTAGTTTCAGTTACAATTCTTCTGAAATTATCGTATAATAATTATGTCATCAGTCAAAATGCAATATGTGGTTAGATTTGTAATTATGCATTATCTATATTTATTATCTTCAGCGATTGGTTAGGGTAAATTTATGGACAATACTCAAGTATAATCGTAAATGTTTGTTGGTTAAGTAAACTGTTACCATAAATTCATTAAAGTCATTGTTTACAATTGTGAAATGAATCGGCTCGCCTAACACATCCAGGGCACAGGTGTACAGTGCACACACTGCACAGCCAAGTCAATAATTTTAAGTACCACCACCTCAGATCCTTCTGCAACCACAAGCAATTTTACATTTATAAAATCTTGAAATATTTATCTGTAATATTTGAATGATATTCATTATGTTAAGTTTTAAATGTTTGATTCGTATTATTTTTCTGGGTAGGGTACTAGTAATTGACTGTACACCTGTGGTCTGGAGTGAACCTGGGAGTTAAACTCAGAAGACATGTCTCAAGACTTTGTTTTTAACTTTCATACAAATCAGAGACTTACATATAAACAATATAGTTTTGTGCATGAATGAAACATAATAAATCTTTTGGGCCTGTGAATATCTGTTGAGGCCTGTATTATATGAGTATGTTAAGGCTTATATTATATGAGTATGTTAAGGCCTGTATTATTTAACTAGTTAAGGCCTATATTATATGAGTATGTTAAGGCCTGTATTATAAAAGTATGTTAAGGCCTGTATTATTTAACTAGGTAAGGCCTATATTATATGAGTATGTTAAGGCTTTTATTATATGAGTATGTTAAGGCATATATTATAATTATGAGTATGTTAAGGCCTATATTATTTATCTAGGTAAGGCCTATTTTATATGAGTAAAGGGCTGTATTATATGAGTATGTAAAGGGCTGTATTATATGAGTATGTTAAGGCCTGTATTATATGAGTATGTTAAGGCCTGTATTATTTTACTAGGTTAAGGCCTATATTATATGAGTATGTTAAGGCCTGCATATATTATATGAGTATGTTAAGGCCTGTATTATTTAACTAGGTAAGGCTTATATTATATGAGTATGTTAAGGCCTGTATTATATGAGTATGTTAAGGCCTGTATTATATGAGTATGTTAAGGCCTGTATTATTTTACTAGGTTAAGGCCTATATTATATGAGTATGTTAAGGCCTGCATATATTATATGAGTATGTTAAGGCCTGTATTATTTAACTAGGTAAGGCTTATAGTATATGAGTGTGTTAAGGCCTGTTTTATATGAGTATGTTAAGGCCTGTATTATTTAACTACTTAAGGCCTATATTATATGAGTATGTTAAGGCCTGTATTATATGAGTATGTTAAAGCCCGTATTATATGAGTTGTTAAGGCCTGTATTATATGGGTATATGTTTAGGCCTGTAGTATTTGTATATGTTAAGGTCTACATTATTTGAGTATATTAAGGCCTGTTGAAAAGAAAAATGTGTGATTCTCTCTGACCAGTTTCAAAAGTAAATTGTTACTAAAAAGAATAGTATTTTTAATTTGTTTACAGCACATCAAAATCTATAATGTCTGCAGCAGGTGTGCCCATTATAGAAGGATACCATGGTGAGGACCAATCAGATTCTAGATTGAAACAGGAAGCTGCTGCTATTGGCTACCCAGTTATGATCAAAGCTGTGAGAGGAGGAGGTGGAAAGGTACTAAATGTGTGATATTCTGTACTAAAACTTCTAGTCACCAGCCATTCAAGAGTTGGGGAGTTTGGTCTCCCAACTACTCCAGCTTAAGTTACTTGCTAGATACCACAACATTCATCCGGCAACCGCTGCCCGTCACAAAACTGATACACAAGTACTTGCACATATTACACGGGTTTTCTTGTTGAAATATTTACACAAGTACTGTGCATATTACATGGCCATTGGGTTTTCTTGTTGGATGATGTTTGGCAAAGTTATGGCACTTGAATAAAAAAGTGTTTGTTTCTTTCTGTTGCTTGTCCTGACTTCTTCTCAGAACAACCCTTGGGACAAGACTTTTAGTAGACCATACTAACCTTGACTTTCATTCATAAATGACCTTGACCATCAAGGTCAAATGTCTAAATTTAGCTTGTTTTCTGCTATAAGTGGCTATAACTTTGTTATTTTTGAATGGATTGTCTTCAAACTTGAACATAACAATCTTCTAGAATAGCCCTTCAAGGTAACCAAACAAGTTTTTACCTTTACTTGACCTTGAAGGTCACATTATTGAAATTTTCTTCTTTTTTTGTTGCTGTAACTGGCTATAACTTTGTTATTAATGAATGGATTTATTTCATATAATGACAAAACATTCTTTAGAGTAAAGCCTTCATGTATATCAAACTCCGATTGACCTTTGCTCTCTTGTGACCTTGTGACCTTGACCATTGAAGGTTAAATAAATGAATTTTCACTGAATTTTAATATAATTGACTGTAACTTTGTAATTGATTATCTTATCTATTAAGACAAGGTATGTGCAACACTCAGACCTCTACCACAAAGGTCAATTTTATAGCAATTTATCTGTGTGCATGTCTGTTACACTGATTATATACTGGTTTCCTAGCAGTTTCCGTCCCCGAGGAGTTTTCCGGCCGTTTATCATTTTCGTCCGGTACAGTCTATTTTCACCAGTGAGGCATCCACATTAATTCATTAATCAGAGAGACATTTGTTTTCTATGCTAAACAGCATTTAAAATAGTACAACGATTTATATGTTTTGAAGTTTTGCCTGTTATTTAAAGTTACATAAGAGAACTTGCGACTTAAAAATAAGCAACACCTGGGGAATTCTAGTTTGTATATCCATGCGCAATAACTAAGACCCCATTTTAGGTAAATCAATACTTCGGAAACCAGTATTGAACTTATGAATTTTCTTCTCAAAAACCACAAGTTCAATTTCCACTACACTTGCCAGGATTGTTCCTTAAGTGAAGGGCTTCCAAAGTTGTTCAATGAATTTGTTTCCATGCAGAAATCTGGTTGCCATGGAAATGTAAAGGAATATTAGAAGAAACTTAAAAAAATCTGTCTAGAGCCACAAGGCCTAGAGCATAGATATTTTGCACAAAGCATTTTCTTGTGCACCTCTACCAAGATTGTTAAAATGTATTCTACTTATATGTATATAGTAAAAAATTAAAAATCTTCTACTTTAAAACTATAAGGGCTTCAGCTTAGATATTTGGCAGGAAACATTTAATTTCTGTGGTCATGGGTTTTCCAAATAAACATTAAGTAAAAATTAAAATATTTTCTCCTCCAAAACTACAAGGGCTAGATCTTAGATACACTGTAATTAGCATGAAACATTGTCTTGTGAACCTCTGTTGGGACTTTTGAAATTACAGCCTTTGGGTCTAAATTAGCCCCCATCCCAAGGGTTTATAGGTTCACTTGTACAACGGCTAATTATCATAAATATTTGACATGAAACGTTGTCTGAACCTTTACCAAGATTGTTCAAATTATGGCTTTTGGTTCAAAATTGGTCCTGCATTTGATGTTATTTCCCTATACATGTATATAATATTTCCCTTTTTACATTTAATTAGTTTTGCCTCAACTATCCGCAGAATTATTGAGCTAATGCAGTCACCAATTTGTCAGCTTCAGCTTCCCTGTGGTCAAGTTTGTGCGTGTAAGCTGGGATCTCCATAACTTCTGAAGGGAATGGAGGCTTGTTCTCTATGATTATGCAACATGATTGGCACAAGTACCATAACTCTGATTGCTTTTTTTGCATAACTATTCCATTTTTTCGACTTAGAGATTCTTGGTTAAGTGTTTGTGTGTAAGCTGGTATCTCCATAACTACTGAAAGGATTGGATTGAAACTTCACACACTTGTTCTCTGTAATTATCTAACATGATTAGCACAAGTCAGGTAACTCTAATTTGCTTTTTTGCATATTTATTCCCCTTTTTCCTCCATAACTATTGGAGGGAATGGATTGAAACTTCACGCACTTGTTCTCTGTGATTATCTAACATGATTGGCACAAGTCCCATAACTCTGATTTGCTTTTTTGCATAATTAAACCCCTTTTTCAACTTAGAAGTTCTTTGTGTAAGCTGGTATCTCCATAACTACTGAAAAGATTGGATTGAAACTTCACACACTTGTTCTCTGTGATTATCTAACATGATTGGCACAAGTCCCATAACTCTGATTTGCTTTTTTGCATGATTATGCCCCTTTTTTTACTTAAAAATTCTTGGTTATGTTTTTGCTTGTTAGCTGGTATCTCCATAACTACTAAAGCAGACCTGGGGATGATTACATTGATCATTAATTGATTTAATTACAATTACTTTCAGATTTTATTGTAATTGATTACAATTGATTACTCAGACTTGCCTCTGTAATCAATTGAATTACAATTACTTTGAGAAAGTAATTGATTGATAATTGATTACATTCCATGTATAACTATAAACAAAAGTTTCTTAATGCTATTTAATATATACATTATATACACAAAGGATTTCCAGCTCATCAACAGTCATCATTTTAACACACTTTTAGTTACTGTCACATCACTTTATCATATTTTAGCATTGCACTTTAGCATCATAAGTTCATGGAACAGTCTATCAGTCAGACTGCATCTATCAGGATGGAAAATTTTACCCGCAACACTAAACAAACGCTCTACAGGGGCCAATGATGCAGGAATGGTCCTCAGTCTTCTTGGTGTAGGTTTCATAATGAACTCTCTGCAACAGAAATTTTTAAAAGTGTCAATTGTACAGTATGCTCTATACAGGTGTTAAAACAGGTGTGAAAACAATAAATTCTAATATGGGAATTCAAAGAGACAATATACTTTACAAAGAAATTATCAGTTTTTTTACAAACACTTCAACGGTACAACAGTATCCATTATAATATAGACACATTGTCTATCAACAGTATCCATTTTAATATGGACACATTGTCTATCACCTTACAAAATAACTGTTGCATATAGTTAAAATATGGTAATATGCATCTGACACTAACTCTAGAATATACAAAGTAAAGAAGTTATCTACATTGTTTGAAACTTTTTAAAACATGGTTTAACCAAAATATATGAAACAAAATTTAACATACCTTTATGTGGGTAATGAAATTTGAATGTGACTTAGTGTTTCCATTTATCTTCTTAGGGCACAATTTGCACTGTGCTGTCACATTTCCAGATGTTTATTTAGGAAATTCAGAGACATATGATAAATCCAGTGATTTGACATTTTGGTTAGAATACCAGCCAAACAATGATGTCTATCTTTCAGTTAGAATTTGGTTAACTGTATGGATTAAAACTTATTTCTTCATTGTGAGTGATGTCTTAAAATGTCTCACTAGATATTTTACTACCTTAGTTAAACTGTAACATGTGAAATAAATCATTTGAATTTCAATAATTTCATGTAAAATCTGAAAGTAATCAACATCAATCAAATTGTAATCATAATTACAGACTGAATTTAAGCTGTAATTGATTAATTACGATTAATGTAATCAATTTTGAGCAAGGTAATCAATTACATGATGATTACAGTGTAATCATGTAATCAATTAAAAATTCGATGATTACGATTATTGATTACCCCAGGTCTGTACTAAAGGGAATGGATTGTCACTTCACACACTTGTTCTCTGTGTTTATGTTACATGATTGGCACAAGTCCCATAACTATGATTGCTTTTTTGCATAATTATGCTCCTTTTTCGACTTACAAATTCATGGTTAAGTTTTTGCTTGTAAGCTGGTATCTCCATAACTACTGAAGGGAATGGATTGAAACTTCACAAACTTGTTCTCTGTGATTATCTAACATGATTGGCACAAGTCCCATAACTCTGATTTGCTTTTTTGCATGATTATGCCCCTTTTTTTACTTAAAAATTCTTGGTTATGTTTTTGCTTGTAAGCTGGTATCTCCATAACTACTGAAGGGTTTGTGCCTTTTTTTGTGACAATTTTATGCATTCATAATAAACAAGCAGTGATTTACTCGTTTAAACATCTTAACAACAAGCCTTTGTACCTTTTTGGACAATTTTATGTATTCATATAGTTAAGCATTATTATACTCGATGAAACACCCTGGTGACAAAGCATTATTATACTTGATGAAATACCCTTGTGACAACTTTTTCGAATAGTCAGGCATCACTGTCCTCAGACAGTTCTTGTTTTAAAAGAAATTGCTACTCAAAAACTACATGGGCTAGATCTAATATATTTGGCATAAAACGTAATCTCTACCAAGGAAGATTGTTGAATGTTCAGATATAGCCCTTTGTTCAATGTTGGTCCCACCAGGCCAGAGGGTGTGTCATGGGAAATCCTTATATATTTTTAGTTAAAACTGAAAAAATCTTTGATTCAGCAATTATGCAAGAGATTACTTATTTAGCATGAAATGTTGTCCAGTAGACAGCTACGTTTCCAAATAACAGCCTTGGGGTTATCAACCAATTGGTTGGCAATCATCACAAAGTTCAATTGTTTAATGTTTAGAAGAAAAGTTCAATGAAAGACTCTGTTCCTTAATGTTGCATAATGCAGTGGCAAAGCATTTTTTCACAAGTGAAACCTTGTTTCAGTAGTACAATTGTGTGCTTCATATAAATCTTTCCTTATGCAGGGACTCTAGCTACTCTGTTACAGGTTCATGTTACTATGCATCTTTACTTATAGCATATAATATTATACAGTTTTAAACAATATAAATTGACATTACATTAAGTAATAAGTGAACTGTTAACTAACATAAGGATGATATATTATAGGGTATGAGGATATCTATGACAGAGTCAGAGTTTGATGAACAGTTAGAATCAGCACGTAGAGAGGCCATGAAATCATTTGGTGATCAAGTCATGCTCATTGAAAAATTTGTAGAAATGCCAAGGTATGTCCTGCTGTTAATTACTTTCAAAATCAAACTGTTAAATATTCACCAAACTATTACTTCCCCTTTGTCCTACTGTTAAATATTCACCAAACTATTTCTGTAACTTTCCCTTTGTCCTATTGTTAAATATTCACCAAACTATTTCTGTATCTTTCCCTTTGTCCTATTGTTAGGGCCTGAAGACAAAAGTATTGAAGAAAAGAAAAATATTATAGCAATGTCATCAAAAGATTTAATGAATATACGTTTTGTCTGCAACAACATTGGTAGATGCTTCTCCAATTTTTGGTTATGCAGACATGTATAATGATATGAATTTCATAATTGCCCAATAAAAGTCAATGTTATAAACATTCAGAATTTTAATAATAATAACAAGTTCATGATAAATGTTGAACAGAAAGAAATTGCATAAAATATTATCTTGATTGACAAATTTTTTTTTAAGACTTATACATACATTTCTATGAGTGATATGTTTAATGATGTTGACAGACATGTAGAAGTTCAGGTGTTTGGAGACAAACATGGGAATTATGTGTATTTATATGAGAGGGATTGCAGTGTTCAGAGAAGACATCAGAAAATTATTGAAGAAGCTCCAGCAGTAAGTACATATTTAACAATGTTTATAATTTATTCTGAAAAAGAAAAAACGAAATAACCTTCCTCCATCGTTGTCACACACTGTTACTGCATTTAAATTGTGCCTGGCTCTTGTGTTCATAGCTCACCTGAGTACAATATGTGCATCATACAATTGTGCATGGTGTTGATGTGGTCAACAATTTGCTTTAATTAACATAAAGCACAAGGTGAATGTTGCCTAAACTTGGCATAAATGTCTGTTGCTTTACAGCATAAAAACTGTACAGTAGTAAGACCAGGCATCAGGTGAATTAGAATCTAATGCTAATGCATTAATAATGCATTACTTTTTTCAAGTAATGAAAGGTAAAGATTAATGCAATAGATTAAGCATTATTTTAATGCTGATTTAATACATTACCCATGTTAAAATGCTTTTAATGAACAACATTGTTTATTTGGCATTACATGGATTTTGTTCACTTCACATTAAATATCTTTATTTATAGCAAGAGAAAAACATGATTATAAATATTTGTTAACTAGTGTGATGTGTTAACTATTAGTTACCAGATATATGAATACTGCACATGTACTACAGAGAAAACCTTTAATTGTTTCCCTAATCTGATTCATAAAAGTTTGAACACTTTTATAAACAGTTTTATAAGCTCAACATTTTGGAAAGAAATATTTGAGATATTGTTACAGTCATGTCCATGCCTGTTGCCTTTGCTGTCAAATAAACATTAACATTGGCCATAGCTTTTTATACCCCCACAAACAGCTTGTCAGTTGATCTGTCTGTCAATTGGTCCATAAAATAATAGCCTCAAGCTCTTCCTCACAGAGTTACTGCCCTTTAAAGACTTTTATTTTAAAAGTTTGTCTGGACTACCCCTCTCATACCACTTTGGCAATTTCAATTAAACTTTATAGGATTGATAGATAGGTCAAGTACTTGAGCATATTACACGTTTTTTTCCGGTTTAATGATTTTTGGCTGAATTAAAGCCCTTAAATAAAAAAGATGTTAATAAAAGTTTGTATTAACTACTCCTCTCATATAGAGAGTTTCAATGAAACTTTACAGGATTGATTGGTAGCTCAAGTACTTCCTTTTAGTACATAGGTTTGAATGAATTTTGGCTGAGTTGTTGGCCTTTACTTTAAAATAAAAGATTTGTTGTTTTTTGTGTTGCCAACTTACACAGAAGCTTTTCTGGATTACACCTTGGGAACTACTGGTATATTTCATCCAAACTTTACAGGCATGATCAGTACCAAGTTTAGTTGTGCATATCATCAGCATTTTTTTGGTTTAATAATTTTTGGAGTTATGGCCCTTTAATGAGTTTTAATTTGACTACTCCTCTTACACCACTAATGCAAATTCATTGAAACTTTACAGGATTAATCAGTAGCTAAAGCACTTGGGCATATAAAACAGGTTTTCAGTTTGAATGATTTTTGCTATGTTATGCATGTGCCAGTAATACTATCTTTAATTTTTAGCTCGACTATTCGATAAGAATAAGTAGAGCTATTGTAGTCACCCGAGCGTCGGCGTCCGGGTCGGCGTAACCACTTATGTTAAAGTTTTTGTAATAGTTTAAATATTTTCAAAGTCCATTGACATATGGCTTTGAAACTTTGCACACTTGTTCACCATCATGACCCCAACCTGTAGACAGGAGGAGGTAACTGTATCAAGCATTTTGACAGAATTATGCCCCTTTTTCGACTTAGAATTTACGTTAAAGTTTTTGTAATAGTTCAAATATTTTCAAAGTCCATTGACATATGGCTTTGAAACTTTGCACACTTGTTCACCATCATGACCCCAACCTGTAGACAGGAGGAGGTAACTGTATCAAGCATTTTGACAGAATTATGCCCCTTTTTCGACTTAGAATTTACGTTAAAGTTTTTGTAATAGTTCAAATATTTTCAAAGTCCATTGACATATGGCTTTGAAACTTTGCACACTTGTTCACCATCATGACCCCGACCTGTAGACAGGAGGAGGTAACTGTATCAAGCATTTTGACAGAATTATGCCCCTTTTTCGACTTGGAATTTACGTTATGGTTTTTGTAATAGTTCAAATATTTTCAAAGTCCATTGACAAATGGCTTTGAAACTTTGCACACTTGTTCACCATCATGACCCCAACCTGTAGACAGGAGGAGGTAACTGTATCAAGCATTTTGACAGAATTATGCCCCTTTTTCGACTTGGAATTTATGTTAAAGTTTTTGTAATAGTTCAAATATTTTCAAAGTCCATTGACATATGGCTTTGAAACTTTGCACACTTGTTCACCATCATGACCCCAACCTGTAAACAGGAGGAGGTAACTGTATCAAGCATTTTTTATTACTGTCAAGCACTAAGAATAGTCGAGCGTTGCTGTCCTACCGACAGCTCTTGTTATAGCTCTTGTTTCCTTCTAAAGACACATTATTATGTTGTTTCTTATATGAACTTTTAATAAATATTGGATCTAAGGCTTCAAGGTAATTTGGATTGACATCCCTGTATTTGTTATATTAATGTTTGTATATATATATTTTAGCCAGGCTTGACAGAGGAGACAAGGAGAGCTATTGGTGAAGCAGCTGTACGAGCAGCACAGGCAGTGAACTATGTAGGGGCAGGTAATAACAATATACACTTATAGTGATGTTTAGTGATGTTTCTGGCTGGGTGGTTGCTTTTTAAGAGTTGAGGCATCAGAATGGCAGCCACTGTTTATCCCTGTATGATCATGTGAGGCGACTAAATCGGTCCAAATGGTTTTGACCCCTGATGTTGTTTTAAGTTTGTCACACCCAAGGTTAGCCAAATAATATTTCTTGTTTCAGGGCCATATGACCTAAATTGTGTCACTAGTGCGCCATAAAACCAAACCAAACAAAGTTATGTTTCATTAAATTTTAAAAAAATTTGAAATGCATGTAGCACAAATATAATGTAGAAAATTACAGTACAAAAATCTTCATCAGTAAAAACTCATTGAATTTAAAACAGTTATTTTGCACAATGAGTGATACAGAAAAAATTCTGTATGAAACAAATAAAATCCAAAGTTTCATCAAGCAGTATATAAAATGTCAAAAGTTGATTTTCATTTATTGTGATGCCTGCTACAGCCACTAAAACGTGTTTTCCTGTTGAGTGAGTGATGGCCCTTGATTATTTGTGTCACCTGCTATAGAGTAGCGGCAACATATACTGGGATCATTCCTCTGTCGTATGTGTAGCTGTACATCCAGTACTACTAAAATAAACTAGTGTGATATCATTCCAAACTAGTTGTGCAAATCATGGGCTTTTTCCAGTTCAATAATTTTGTCAGAGTTACGGCCCTTTAATTATTTTAATTTTTAATAGTTTGTCTGGACTACTTCTCTTACACCATTAATGCAATTTGAATGAAACTGTACAGGATTGATCAGTACCTCAAGTACTTGCGCATATTCCAGGTTTTTTTTGGGTTGAATGAATTAGTTATTTTTGTGTAACCAGTGACACAATAGCTGATTGATCTGTCTGTAAAGTACTTGCCCGCTTTAAATATTTTCCTGTTGAATGATTTTGCCTGAGTAATGGCCCTTGAATAAAAAAGCGTTGGGCCTGTTAATGATTCTTGTGTTTCTTGCTACACAGTAGGGACAACATTCTGCAAAGTAGCAGCAGCATATAGGGATCCCCCTTCAATACAATCTGCCTCTTACTCAAGGCATTTGGGTTCAAGCCCTATTGGGGTAAAAACCATGTTTCCTGATATGACACCAGTACTGGTTAGTTCCAGGAAACAGTCTTGGTTCAAACAAGCTTCAACTTCAAGCTTTCTTAACAATCTAGAAATATATTATTAGTTTATGAAAAATAAAATTCAAGATGTCCTTCATGTAATTGGTGGTATAAATTAACTTACATTTGTCCTTTATCACTTAATGCTAATTTGAAATTTGTAGGTACTGTAGAGTTTATAATGGATAAAGATCAGAAGTTTTACTTTATGGAAATGAACACAAGATTACAGGTTGAACACCCAGTCACTGAGATGGTGACAGGTACTGATCTAGTAGATTGGCAAATTAAGGTAAAAGATTAAGATATTAATAGTTTATATGATTAGTTCCCTACCGGTTTAACAGGAGGGTAGTTAAGGTTTACCCTCCATCCATATGTTCATCCATCCGTCCGTCTGTCTCTCCATACAAAAACAAAGGTAATTGTGTTATTAGGAAAACAATAGATAACGGTACAGTTTTAGCTCACCTAAGCACAATGTGCAACATACATATAGTAAAAACAGAAACTAAAAACTAATTATGCACATTTTTTTTATCCCCCCAATCTGTCATTGGTGTCCTGACTGTAACTTTGTTGTGCATAGAGGGATTTTGAAATAGCTTGGCTCAAATGTCTACCACATCAAGAACCACATGCATACCTCAAAGGTCAAGGTTACACTAACATTTTGAAGTCTCACATTTTCACAATTAGAGTTAATAAGTACACACATTGGTGTCTGGACTGTAACTTTGTCATGCAATGAAGGATTTTAAAATGATGTGGCATAAATGTCTACCACATCAAAACAATGTCTCTGGAAGAACCACGTCCCTACCTCAAAAGTCAATATCACACCAACAATTTAAAGTTTCACATTATCACAATTAGAGTTATTACACATTCCCGTCCGGACTGTAACTTTGTCATGCATCAAAAGATTTTAAAACAACTTAGCATAGATGTCTACCACATCAAGACAATGTTTTGCATCTAAGAATCATGTCCCTACCTCCAAGATCAAGGTGAAGGTACTCATTATCTCTAAAAGTGTTTGAAGATACACATTCATTTCTAGACTGTTTCTTTGTCATGCATAAGATTTTGAAAAAAACTTGGCACAAATGTCAACCACATTAAGACAATGTGTCACAGCTAAGGCTCATGTCCGTCTGTGCCTCCCCACTTACATAACAATTGTTTCCGGACTGTAACTTTGTCATGCATTGAGGGATTTCAAATAACTGTGCCCGAATTCTACCACTTCACTACGTTGTGTTGCGTCCTAGAACCACATCCCTTCTTCAAAAGTCAAGGTTACACTTACATTTTGAAGGTTCACAAGATCACAGTTAGAGATTATAGGTACACACATTTGTGCCCGGACTGTAACTTTGTCATGCATTAAGGGATTTTAAAATAACTTGGCATAAATGTCAACTACATCAAGACAATGTGTCGGGTTTAAAACCCATGTCCCTACCTCCAAGGTCAAGGTCACACTTATAATTTCAAGGATGTACACATTCCTGTCCGGACTGTAACTTTGTTAGCTCACCTGTCAAAGTGACATGGTGAGCTTTTCGTCCGGTGTCTGTCCGTAAACTTTTACTTTAAATGACACCTCCTCATAAACCGCTAAGCCAATTTCATCCAAACTTCCCAGAAATGTTTCTTTGGTAGTCAACTTTAAAAATTCACACTTAGAAGTTGAAGGTACACATTTCTGTCCAAACTGTAGCTTTTTCATGTATGGAAGGGTTTTAAAATTACTTTGCACAAAAATCAAACACATCCTGGTGATGTGTTTCATTTAAGACCAATGTCCGTTAGTCAAAGGTCAAGGTCACACTTACAGTTTGAAGGTTTCACATTCTCACAAGTAGTGTTTAAAGGTATTTACATTTGTGTCTGGACTGTAACTTTTCTATGCACAGAAGGATTTTTAAATAACATAGCATATATGCCTACCACATGAAGACGACATGTTGCATTCAAGACCCATGTCCCTACCTCCAAGGTCACTCATATAGTTAGAAGGTACTCATTTTCTCAAGAAGGGTTTTAAGATACACATTCGTATCTGGACTCTAACTTTGTCATGCATTGAAGAACTTTAAAATAAATTTGCACAAATGTCTACCACATCAAGACGATGTGTTGTGTGTACATCTTTTTTTAAATAAATAAAATGTTCTGGAACAAAATGTTAGGGTGCAACTTTAATTTGAGTTTGAAAGTTAGAGAGGACAGTAATGTTGATCAGTATTTGGCCAATATGAGGATGAATGAAACATGTGATATTGGAAAATTAAATGACAATTTAACAATAAACACTTGACAACTTTGGAATATAACCATCACAAGTAGAAACAAAAAATGACACAGACAATGACAAACACACACACACAATAATAAAACATGACAGGTACACACAAACAATAATAAATCATGACAGACACAGACAAACAATAATAAAACATGACAGACACACACAAACAATAATAAATCATGACAGACATAGACAAACAATAATAAAACATGACAGGTACACACAAACAATAATAAATCATGACAGACATAGACAAACAATAATAAAACATGACAGGTACACACAAACAATAATAAATCATGACAAACACACACACACAATAATAAAACATGACAGACACACACAAACAGTAATAAATCATGACAGACATAGACAAACAATAATAAAACATGACAGACACAAACAAACAATAATAAATCATGACAGACACATACAAACAATAATAAATCATGACAGACACATACAAACAATAATAAAACATGACAGACACACACAAACAGTAATAAATCATGACAAACACACACAAACAATAATAAAACATGACAGACACAGACAAACAATAATAAAACATGACAGACACAGACAAACAATAATAAATCATGACAAACACACACACACAATAATAAAACATGAAAGACACACACAAACAATAATAAATCATGACGGACACAGACAAACAATAATAAATCATGACAGACACAAACAAACAATAATAAATCATGACAAACACACACACACAATAATAAATCATGACAAACACATACAAACAATAATAAATCATGACAGACACAAACAAACAATAATAAAACATGACAGACACAGACAAACAGTAATAAAACATGACAGACATAGACAAACAATAATAAAACATGACAGACACAAACAAACAGTAATAAAACATGACAGACACACACAAACAATAATAAATCATGACAAACACACAAACAATAATAAATCATGATAGACACAGACAAACAATAATAAATCATGAAATACACAAACAAACAATTATAAATCATGAAATACACAAACAAACAATAATAAAACATGACAGACACAGACAAACAGTAATAAATCATGACAGACATAGACAAACAGTAATAAATCATGACAGACACAGACAAACAATAATAAAACATGACAGACACAGACAAACAATAATAAAACATGACAGACACACACACACAATAATAAAACATGACAGACACAGACAAACAATAATAAAACATGACAGACACAGACAAACAATAATAAATCATGACAAAACACACACACACAATAATAAAACATGAAAGACACACACAAACAATAATAAATCATGACGGACACAGACAAACAATAATAAATCATGACAGACACAAACAAACAATAATAAATCATGACAAACACACACACACAATAATAAATCATGACAAACACATACAAACAATAATAAATCATGACAGACACAAACAAACAGTAATAAAACATGACAGACACAGACAAACAGTAATAAAACATGACAGACACAAACAAACAATAATAAAACATGAGAGACAAAGACAAACAATAATAAAACATGACAGACATAGACAAACAGTAATAAAACATGACAAACACATACAAACAATAATAAAACATGACAGACACAGACAAACAATAATAAATCATGACAGACACAGACAAACAATAATAAAACATGACAGACACAAACAAACAATAATAAAACATGAGAGACAAAGACAAACAATAATAAAACATGACAGACATAGACAAACAGTAAATAAAACATGACAAACACATACAAACAATAATAAAACATGACAGACACAGACAAACAATAATAAATCATGACAGACACAGACAAACAATAATAAATCATGACAGACACAGACAAACAATAATAAATCATGACAGACACAGACAAACAATAATAAAACATGACAGACACAGACAAACAATAATAAAACATGACAGACACACACAAACAATAATAAAACATGACAGACATAGACAAACAATAATAAAACATGACAGACACAGACAAACAATAATAAAACATGACAGACACACACAAACAATAATAAAACATGACAGACATAGACAAACAATAATAAATCATGACAGACACACAAACAATAATTAAACATGACAGACATAGACAAACAATAATAAAACATGACAGACATAGACAAACAATTATAAATCATGACAGACACACACAAACAATAATCAAACATGACAGACACAGACAAACAATAATAAATCATGACAGACATAGACAAACAATAATAAATCATGACAGACACAGACAAACAATAATAAAACATGACAGACATAGACAAACAATAATAAATCATGACAGACACAGACAAACAATAATAAATCATGAAATACACACACAAGCAATAATAAAACATGACAAACACATACAAACAATAATAAATCATGACAGACACAAACAAACAATAATAAAACATGACAGACACAGACAAACAGTAATAAATCATGACAAACACATACAAACAATAATAAAACATGACAGACACAAACAAACAATAATAAATCATGACAAACACATACAAACAATAATAAAACATGACAGACACAAACAAACAATAATAAAACATGACAGACACACACAAACAATAATAAATCATGACAAACACATACAAACAATAATAAAACATGACAGACCACAACAAACAATAATAAAACATGACAGACACATACAAACAATAATAAAACATGACAGACACAGACAAACAATAATAAATCATGACAGACACAGACAAACAATAATAAAACATGACAGACACAGACAAACAGTATAATAAAACATGACAGACACATACAAACAATAATAAAACATGACAGACACACACAAACAATAATAAAAACATGACAGACACAAACAACAATAATAAATCATGACAGACACAAACAAACAATAATAAAATCATGACAGACACATACAAACAGTAATAAAACATGACAGACAAAGACAAACAATAATAAATCATGACAGACACAGACAAACAATAATAAAACATGACAGACACACACAAACAGTAACCAACATGACAGACACAGACAAACAATTATAAATCATGACAGACATAGACAAACAATAATAAATCATGACAGACACATACAAACAATAATAAATCATGACAGACACAGACAAACAATAATAAAACATGACAGACACACACAAACAATAATAAAACATGACAGACATAGACAAACAATAATAAATCATGACAGACACAGACAAACAAATATTAAAACAAGATAGACACACACAAACAGTAATAAATCATGACAGACATAGACAAACAATAATAAATCATGACAGACACAGACAAACAATAATAAAACAAGATAGACACACACAAACAGTAATAAATCATGACAGTCATAGACAAACAATAATAAAACATGACAGACACACACAAACAGTTATAAAACATGACAGACACAGACAAACAATAATAAATCATGACAGACACACACAAACAATAATAAAACATGACAGACATAGACAAACAATAATAAATCATGACAGACACATACAAACAATAATAAATCATGACAGACATAGACAAACAATAATAAATCATGACAGACACAGACAAACAATAATAAAACATGACAGACACAGACAAACAGTAATAAATCATGACAGACATAGACAAACAATAATAAAACATGACAGACATAGACAAACAATAATAAAACATGACAGACACACACAAACAATAATAAAACATGACAGACACACACAAACAGTAATAAATCATGACAGACACAGACAAACAATAATAAAACATGACAGACACAGACAAACAGTACTCGTAATAATAACATGTAATATGTGTAACTGAACATGTGACTATTGTTTAATTATTTTCTCAGGTTGCAGCTGGAGAACCATTACCTGTAATACAGAGTGATATTAAGTTGAATGGACATGCTTTCGAGGCACGTATATATGCTGAAGATCCAAACAACAGTTTTATGCCAGGGGCTGGACCCTTATTACACCTGTCACCCCCACAGTGTGACAGGAACACAAGGATAGACACAGGGGTGAGGCAAGGTATAAATTCTTTATTGATCATTACATTTTAAAATTTTAGATTTTATTAGGTGGTAGAACACATGTGGTTCGTGTAAAATATATATCTATGTAATAGATTTCAGAAGTGATTGAGAAAAACTAGCAAATAGTTAAAATTTAATAGGTTTTGTTGAAACTTAATACACATTGTATTATAATAGATTGTGAGTAGATATCAATGTGTGTATTTTTGTGTCAGGGATATATAATAAGCATGCCATTGATCATTGTTTCATGTAATATACTGGTGTGTTATAGGAGATGAGGTGTCAGTACACTATGACCCTATGATAGCCAAGTTGATAGTATGGTCAGAGGATCGCGAGTCAGCTCTACGAAGATGTCGCTCAGCACTTACACAGTACCAGGTCAGTACAATATCATTTTAAGTCACAACAAAATTGTTAAGGTTATGTGATGCACTTCAAGCTTTAGTGGAGGACGCAGACTTGATGCATTATTTCAAACATAAGTGATAGCAACCTCATATAGATAGAAATGGTAGTAACCAGACATTTGTACCAAAATATATCTCTAATCTACATTTGTCTCCAAAAGTTAGACTAGTAAAGTATATTTTGCAGAGTTTGTATACTGTTACAAATAAGTGCATACTAATTTACATTGAGCCTGCTGATTTGATGGATCTACCCTGCTTTGAGCAATCTATTGAAATTAAAGGAATTTCTGTATCAAAATACAAAAATTGAACTACAGTCAGCATAGAGCATTTTCAGACGGCATTGATGTGCAGGTTTGTTTTTTGGTGCACAAGTAGACATTTGTTGGGAATCGTTGTTGGTTGTAGAAGTAACACTGAATTATTTAGCTATGAGGATGCATGCTAATGTAAGTGGTGTCTGCCAGCCAGACAGTAATTATAGCCTGTCTTGCTCCTTAAAGCCGAAAAATACATCAACTAATGTTCCTATCTTTGATATAAGTTTGAAAAGGTGAGTTTATATTGTTATTTACTTTGTTAATATGCTTTTCAGCTCACCAGAACCAAAGGTTCAGGGTGAGCCATTAGTATCAAAGGGGGATGCTCCGGCGTCCTTTGTCATGTCAACAAGTCTTCTTCTCTGAAACTGCTGGGCAGATTTACTTCAAATTTGGTCTGTAGCATCCTTGTGACAGTCACACTTGAATTTGCTCATGTCATTTAAACCTTTAAATGTCTATTGATGGATGATCATCAAACTTTGTCAAGTAGTTTTTAGCTCACCTGTCACAAAGTGACAGGGTGAGCTTTTGTGATCGCTTTTCGTCCGGCGTCCGTCGGTCGTCCGTCCGTCGTCCGTCTGTCGTCCGTAAACTTTTACTTTAAATGACATCTCCTCATAAACCACTAGGCCAATTTCATCCAAACTTCACAGGAATGTTCCTTTGGTGCTCACCTTTAAAAATTGTTCAAAGAATTTAATTCCATGCAGAACTCTGGTTGCCATGGCAACCGAAAGAAAAAACTATAAATATCTTCTTTTAAAAAAACCCTAAGAGCTAGAGCTTAGATATTTGGCATGAAACATCTTCTAGTGAGTGTCTACCAAGTTTGTTCAAATAAAAGCCCTGGGGTCAAAATTGGCCCCGCCCCAGGGGGTCATTGATTTTCCCTATATGCATATAGTAAAAACTTAAAAAATCTTCTTTTAAAGAACTCAAAGAGCTAGAGCTAAGATATTTAGCATGAAACATGTTCTAATGAGTGTCTACCAAGTTTGTTCAAATAAAAGCCCTGGGGTCAAAATTGGCCCCGCCCCGGGGGTCATTGATTTTCCTTATATGTGTATAGCAAAAACTTAATATCTTCTTTGAAAAAACCCAAATAGCTAGAGTTTAGATATTAAGCATGAAACATCTTCTAGTAAGTGTCTACAAAGTTTGTTCAAATAAAAGCCCTGGGGTCAAAACTGGCCCCGCCCCAGGGGTTGTCATTGTTTTTTAACTATATGTGTATAGTAAAAAACTTAAAAAATCTTCTTTTAAAAAGCCCAATGAAGAGCTTAGATGTTTAGAATTGAAAATCTTCTTATGGTTGTCTACCAAGTTTGTTCAAAAAAAAGCCCTGGGGTCAAAATTGGGGCCCACCCCAGGGGGTCATTGATTTTCCCTATATGCATATAGTAAAAAAACTTAAAAAATCTTCTTTTAAAAACTCAAAAGAGCTAGAGCTAAGATATTTAGCATCAAACATGTTCTAATAGGTGTCTACCAATATAAAAGTCCCTGGGGTCAAAATTGGGCCCACCCCAGGGGGTCATTGATTTTCCTTATATGTGTAATAGCAAAAACTTAAAATCTTCTTTGAAAAAAACCCAAATAGCTTAGAGTTTAGTATCTAAAGCATGAACCATCTTCTAGTAAGTGTCTACAAAGTTTGGGTTCAAATAAAAGCCCTGGGGTCAAAACTGGCCCCGCCCAGGGGTGTCATTGTTTTTTAAAACTATATGTGTAAAGTAAAAAACTTAAAAAAAAAAATCTTCTCTTTAAAAAAGCCCAATGAGCTTAGAGCTTAGATTTTACATGAAACATCTTCTTTATGAGTGGTGGTGTGTGGTGTGTGGGGGGGGGGGGGGGCTATATACAGGTGAGCGACCTCAGGGCCATCATGGCCCTCTTGTTTATCAAAGTTTGCTCATATTAATTTGATTGGCCTCTTTTAGGGGTCTCTATAGCTAAAAAAAGAAAAACCTTTAGACATCTTCTTCTACAGAACTATCTGATGGATGATCACCAAACTTGGTCCGTAGCATTCTTGGGTAGTCTTTTATCAAAATCTGGAAACAAAGTGATCCCTCGGAAGCATTAATCACAACAAAATTACGTAAGAATTGCAGACTCGGTTTGATTGAGTCTGTACATGAGGGATAATGAATAAGTGCAACATCCCTCACGCCCCCTAGCACCGGCTTGAGCGTACTCAATTCTCAACACTTAATAGTGCTGGCATCAATGATCCCAAAGGACCAGAAAAATATAACAACACTGAAGTGAAGTACGGGGCAACTTTTTACAGCTGCCACACAGCACTTGACACCTGCTGTTGTGATGTATAAAAATCTGGAAACAAAGTGATCCCTCGGAAGCATTAATCACAACAAAATTACGAAAGAATTGGAGACTCGGTTTGATTGAGTCTGTACATGAGGGATAATGAATAAGTGCAACATCCCTCATGCCCCCTAGCACTGGCTTGAGTGGCACTCAATTCTGAACACTTAATAGTGCTGGCATCAATGATCAAGTTTGCTCATATTAATTTGATTTGCCCCTTTTGGGGGCCACTAAAGCTAAAAATAGAAAAAACCTTTGAACATCATTTCCTATTGAAATAATTGATAGATGATCACCAAACTTTGTAGCATTCTTAAGTAGTCTTTTATCAAGTTTGCTCATATTAATTTGATTGGCCCAGTTTAAGCTAAATCTTAAATGCCCCAGGTCATGGCATTTCTTCAAATTATTGTTTAAACATATTCTATGCTCAAATTTAATATAAGAAAATATTGACAATGGATGATTTCCAACACTGAAAAGCAGTTGTTTCTGATGAGCGACTCAGGGCTATCATAGCCCTCCTGTTTATCTTCTCAGACATGGAAAAAATGTAAATTTAAGGACTTACAACTATTAGTATGTAAGACAGAGATTATGTTTCTATGTTTTTTTCTGTTAACTCTCATTCCTTGAAATTCTGGTTTTTGAGAAGTGTTCTCTATATAAATGTACTATCTAACTATTTGATAGTTGTTGTAAGTGTTCGAGAAAAATAAGTGGTCTGAAGATAAAATTTGAGGTTGGGCTCAAAAAGTCAATGTTGCTGGTGGGGGTATTAATCACTTAGTGTTAGCTCTAGTTTCTTACCAGATTTGATTTAAACTTAGACAAAAGAAACCTCATAACAAAACCAACCAGTTGAATTCCTCTGATATGACCTTGACCCTAAATTTATTGAAATTTGCTTAAATTGTAATGATTTTTTTTTATGGATTTGATTTATACTTGGGCAAAAAAAAAACATACAACAAAACTGGCATGTGCAATTATTCTGATATGACCATGACCTTGACCTTAAAAAAATTTGTTAAAATTGGCCTAAATTGTCATACTTACGATATTTATTTATGAATTTAGTTCATTCTTTACAAAACTGACAATGATGATCGACCGTAATGGCAATATGAAAGTTGAATTATAATTTGTTCAAGACTGTTATATTTTCTAGGAGTACATAGGGCTCAACCACATGCTATCAGACTTCTGAACCACTAAACCATTTTTCCCCTTCTGTTTTCACACTCAGATGGAAGGATGTTTTCTTTACAGATAACAGTTGAATGATGTTACAGCAGCAGATTATTTTAAAAGATTTCATTTACAGGTTCTAGGATTGAACACAAATATACAGTTTTTAACAGATCTGGCTAAACATCCAGAGTTTATGAAAGGAAATGTGCATACTGATTTCATCCCACAGTTCTCACAGGATCTGTTTCCGGAACATGTTACCAGCACAACAGCTGTCTGCCAGGCAGCAGTTGCTATGGTGATTCAGCAATCACAGAAAATTGAAAAAGAAGCCAAAAATACTCAAGGTATTGTAACTGTCAGCTTTTAGTATACATTACAATTCTTAGTAGCAGCCAAAAGGGTGAGCAATAATGATTGTTCCATTAAGAGCCAAATGGCCATTCTAAATAATGTTTTGAAGAAGATAGAATTTAGTGAAACTGAATGAAAACAGGACAGAAAATGTGTAATAAACATCAACTCATCTAGCATACAATTTAGAACAATTTTTAATTACCAGTATTAAATATTTAATATCTTCTGAAAGAAAATGACTTTCTTGAGCTAATTTGGCTTTAATTTAAATTGACATTATGCATGTAAATTGACTGGACATTTTTATAAATATTTAGAATGTATTGGTAATGGTCAGTTTTGTAAAAGAAATGTATTAGCTAGTTTTTGTATTTCAACCTAGATATTTTTCATTATGAATTATTGGTCAATCACCAGACTAGGAGTCAGTACTAAAACAACTTGATTGACACAAAATGTCAGTGTCTTTCTGTATTTCATTGCATGATAGTTACATGTAAATTTTATATGTTTAAACTAACTATGAGAGTAATGTGGATAAAAAATTATTTACTTGAAAGTTCAGTACATTTTCTATATAGTAATTAACAATGTTATATATTTTACATTACCTAGATCCATTTTCACCATTTTCCATGTGTTCATCAATGAGAATAAATCAGAATCCAACTAGATGGATTAATTTACTAGATGGAGAAAAAGGTATATCTTTTGTTTTATGTTCCTGCTATTTGTAAAGATTTTATCATTTGTACAAACAAAGATATGCTATGGCACTTTATATCAGTTTGAATTACATATAAAATTTGTCAAAATACATCAAGGAAAATACATGTATCATATTTAAATAACTGCTTATAAACATTTTATATCTTTTTTTTATTTAAACTTGATTTTTTAAATTGGTTGTCATATAAAGTTATGCAGCTTGAGCAAACACATGTATGATGTACAAATTTGTTGTATTTGTTACACTGATAGTTTGTTATAACTGTTTCACTGATAGTTTGTTGTAACTGTTTCACTGGTAGTTTGTTGTAACTGTTTCACTGGTAGTCGGTTGTAACTGTTTCACTGATAGTTTGTTATAACTGTTTCACAGATAGTTTGTTGTAACTGTTTCACTGATAGTTTGTTATAACTGTTTCACAGATAGTTTGTTGTAACTGTTTCACTGGTAGTTGGTTGTAACTGTTTCACTGATAATTTGTTATAACTGTTTCACAGATAGTTTGTTGTAACTGTTTCACTGATAGTTTGTTGTAACTGTTTCACTGGGATGAGTGTTGTTGTAACTGTTTCACTGATAGTTTGTTGTAAACTGCTTTCACTGATAGTTTTGTTGTAGTCTGATATTGTTGTAACTGTTTCACTGATAGTTTGTTGTAACTGTTTTCACTGATAGTTTGTTGTAACTGCTTTCACTGTTTCACTGATAGTTTGTAACTGTTTCACTGATAGTTTGTTTTCATCTTGTTTCACTGATAGTTTGTTGTAACTGTTTTCACTGATAGTTTGTTGTAACTGTTTCACTGATAGTTTGTTGTATAACTGTTTCACTGATAGTTTCGGTTGTAAAACTGTTTCACTGATAGTTTTGTTACGTAAACTGTTTCACTGATAGTTTTTGTTGTAACTGTTTCACTGATAGTTTTGTTGTAACTGTGTTTCACTGATAGTATTGTTGTAACTGTTTCACTGATAGAAGTTTGTTGTAAACTGTTTCACTAGTTTTGTTGTTAACTGTTTCACTGATAGTTTGTTGTAACTGTTTTCACTGATAGTTTGTTTGTAACTGTTTTTCACTGATAGTTTGTTGTAACTGTTTCACTGATAGTTTGTTGTAACTGTTTCACTGATAGTTTGTTGTAACTGTTTCACTGATAGTTTGTTGTAACTGTTTCACTGATAGTTTGTTTGTAAAACTGTTTCACTGATAGTTTGTTGTAACTGTTTCACTGATAGTTTGTTGTAACTGTTTCACTGATAGTCGGTTGTAACTGTTTCACTGATAGTTTGTTGTAACTGTTTCACTGATAGTTTGTTGTAACTGTTTCACTGATAGTTTGTTGTAACTGTTTCACTGATAGTTTGTTGTAACTGTTTCACTGATAGTCGGTTGTAACTGTTTCACTGATAGTTTGTTATAACTGTTTCACTGATAGTTTGTTGTAACTGTTTCACTGATAGTTTGTTGTAACTGTTTCACTGATAGTCGGTTGTAACTGTTTCACTGATAGTTTGTTGTAACTGTTTCACTGATAGTTTGTTGTAACTGTTTCACTGATAGTTTGTTGTAACTGTTTCACTGATAGTTTGTTGTAACTGTTTCACTGATAGTTTGTTGTAACTGTTTCACTGATAGTTTGTTGTAACTGTTTTTGTCATAACTGTTTCACTGATAGATTGTTGTAACTGTTTCACTGATAGTTTGTTGTAACTGTTTTTGTCATAACTGTTTCACTGATAGATTGTTGTAACTGTTTCACTGATAGTTTGTTGTAACTGTTTTTGTCATAACTGTTTCACTGATAGATTGTTGTAACTGTTTCACTGATAGTTTGTTGTAACTGTTTCACTGATAGTTTGTTATAACTGTTTCACTGATAGTTTGTTGTAACTGTTTCACTGATACTTTGTTGTAACTGTTTCACTGATACATCGCTGAAACTGTTTCATTGATAGTTTGTTATAACTGTTTCATTGATAGTCGGTTGTAACTGTTTCATTGATAGTTAGTTGTAACTGTTTCACTGATACTTTGCTGTAACTGTTTCATTGATAGTCGGTTGTAACTGTTTCATTGATAGTTAGTTGTAACTGTTTCACTGATACTTTGCTGAAACTGTTTCATTGATAGTTTGTTGTAACTGTTTCATTGATAGTTAGTTGTAACTGTTTCACTGATACTTTGCTGAAACTGTTTCATTGATAGTCGGTTGTTACTTTTTCATTGATAGTCAGTTGTAACTATTTCACTTTTTGTTGTAACTGTTTCACTGATAGTTTGTAATAACTGTTTCACTGATAGTCGGTTGTACTTGTTTCAATGATACTTGGTTGTACATGTTTCACTGATACTTTGTTTCAATGATAATTTGTTATAACTGTTTCACTGATAGTTTGTTTTCACTGTTTCAGAACTGAAAATGGAAGTAGTAACAAACTTAGATGGTTCATACATTGTTAACTTTGCTGGTCAGAGTTACACAGTATTAGCTAATATAGAACAGTCAGGGGATAAAACCAACATCATTACTATCATAGATGGTGTCAAAACACAAGCTTCTATTGTAACAGTTGGAAACTCACTTCATCTTTTCACTGCTGTAAGATATTTATTTATCTTATGTTATATTTTTATGCCACCGCATATAGCAATTTACCTTTGTGTGTGTGCATGTATGTGGGTTATGTAGATCAAACATGTACATGTATATTGAATAAATTAAAAATCTTCTTGTTAAAAACTACTAGTCCAATTTCAACCAAATACCATCCCAGGATTTTTCCTTGGGTGAAGGGCTTCCAGAATTGTTCAAAGAATTTGATTTCATGCTGAAATCTGGTTGCCATGACAACCTAAAGGAATAATAAGATATTATTTTTTTAGCTCACCTGTCACAAAGTGACAGGGTGAGCTTTTGTGATCACTTTTCGTCCGGCGTCCGGCCGGCGTCCGGCCGGCGTCCGTAAACTTTTACTTTAAATGACATCTCCTTATAAACCACTAAGCCGATTTCATCCAAACTTCACAGGAATGTTCCTTTGGTGGTCACCTTTGAAAATTGTTCAAAGAATTTAATTCCATGCAGAACTCTGGTTGCCATAGCAACCAAAAGAAAAAACTTTAAATATCTTCTTCTAAAAAACCCAAAGAGCTAGAGCTTAGATATTTGGCATGAAACATCTTCTAGTGAGTGTCTACCAAGTTTGTTCAAATAAAAGCCCTGGGGTCAAAATTGACCCCGCCCCAGGGGGTCATTGATTTTCCCTATATGCATATAGTAAAAACTTGAAAAATCCTCTTTTAAAGAACCCAAAGAGCTAGAGCTAAGATATTTAGCATGAAACATCTTCTAATGAGTGTCTACCAAGTTTGTTCAAATAAAAGTCCTGGGGTCAAAATTGGCCCGGCCCCAGGGGTCATTGATTTTCCCTAAATGCATATAGTTAAAACTTGAAAAATCTTCTTTTAAAGAACCCAAAGAGCTAGAGCTTAGATATTTAGCATGAAACATGTTCTAATGGATGTCTACCAAGTTTGTTCAAATAAGAGTCCTGGGGTTAAAATTGGCCCCACCCCGGGGTCATTGATTTTCCTGATATGTGTATAGCACAACTTAAAAAATCTTCTTTGAAAAAAACCAAATAGCTAGAGTTTAGATACTAAGCATGAAACCTCTTCTAGTGAGTGTCTACCAAGTTTGTTCAAATAAAAGCCCTGGGGTCAAAATTGGACCCGCCCCGGGGGGTCATTCATTTTCCTTATACATGTGTATATGTATAACAAAAACTTAAAAAATCTTCTTTGAAAAAACTCAAATAGCTAGAGTTTAGATATTAAGCACGAAGCATCTTCTAGTGAGTGTCTACAAAGTTTGTTCAAATAAAAGCCCTGGGGTCAAAATTGGCCCCGCCCCGGGGGACATTGATTTTTCTTATATGTGTATAGCAAAAACTTAAAAATCTTCTTTGAAAAAACCTGAATAGCTAGAGTTTAGATATTAAGCATGAAACATTTTCTAGTAAGTGTCTACAAAGATGTTCAAATAAAAGCCCTTGGGTCAAAATTGGCCCTGCCCCAGGTGTGTCATTGTTTTTAACAATATGTGTAAAGAAAAAACTTGACCAGCTAGACCTTAGATGTTAAGCATGAAACATCTTCTAATGGGTGTCTACCAAGTTTGTTCAAATAAAAGCCCTGGGGTTAAAACTGGCCCCGCTCCCGGGGCCTATATACAGGTGAGCAACTTCAGGGCCATCATGGCCCTCTTGTTTATTAGTCCCCTACTGGTTTAACCGGAGGGGACTTTAGGTTTACCCTCCGTCTGTCTGTCAGTCTGCACTACCGAATAGGGATAGGGGGCCATCTAACTGTAAACAGAACAAAAGAGAACAATAGAGTTCATTCCGTAACAATAGAATAAGGGGCCATTGGCCCTCTATTAAACAATGGAAAATAACAAAAGAAATGGCCCCTTATTCAATTTCGGCCGGACGTCCGTCCGTGCACAAAACTGGATCCCACAATAACGCAAAAAGTACTGAAAATATTTTTATGAAACTTCATATATGGATAGATGGCAGTATGGAGATTATGCACATCTTTTTTTTCTTTACTATGTTGAAAATTCTGGTTGCTATGGCAACAAATAGCCTGAAAATATGGCAAATTTAACACATATACTGGATCCAGTGATAACTCAAAAAGTACTGAAAATATTTTTATGAAACTTGTAATATGGGTAGATGGCAGTCTGGAGATTACATGTATATAGTAAAAATGTTAAATTTCTTTTTTTTTTAAAACTACAAGGGCTATAGCTTGATATTTAGCATGAAACGTACATTGTCTAGTGAAATTCTATTAAGATGATTTTAATTATAGCTTTGGGTCAAAATTGGCCCTGTCCAAGGAGGTTTCTTCAAATCATAGGTAAATAATGAAAGGGAAGCAATTCATATAGGAATGTCTTTTATACATGTGTACATGTTATGCAATTATTCTATAAAAAGATTCAATAGCTGGGAGTTAATCTTAAGATCATGACCTATATCAAGAGAGATGTTTGCTTTGCAGAGATATTTATGAAAGGATTTTAGCACAATATAAGGAAATTATGATTCACACCATGTATATTATGATGATTTTAAATTGTAAATGTTTTTTATGTTTTCAGAAATATGTTTTGCTATTTACTGTGGTATTAATGCGGTGGCAAAGCATTTGTCCACAGATGCAATCTTGTGGAATGGTATCATACAGTGTTGCTTCTGGATCAAAATTGTTTAAGGACATGAGGGCCTGTAAATTAAATATTTTTTAATTCTGAGGGACGTTCGGGAAAATTAAGGGATATAATTAATATTAATCCATTTTAAAAGTCACTTTGTTTTGCTTAATCTAGATTAAATGTCCACAGGCAACCATAATTTTTGAGGAAAAACTATTAGAACATAATGAAACGGTAGATCATTAACTTCAGATAACTATTTTTGATCAGAATCATTCTTTAAATATGCCAATATGCCATGTTTACTGTTTATGGAGTACCCATTGAAACATAATGCATGGTGCAAAAAAACAGAATCAATTGTATAAATGTCATTTCATATTTCACTTGATTAAAAAAAAAAATGCAACAAATCAGTTGATGTGCAATTTTGTATTATATGGGTAACCAACCCATGTGTCACATCACAGTATAGATTTATAATATGAACAGAAAGGAACCATTTTGTGAATGGAGGGGGAGGCGGTGGTGTGGGATTACTTCACACCAACAAAGTTAAAGTCATATGGCAATTTTCCAGCTTTACTGGAGGAAGAAGATCTCAGGTGCCCCTCTGATCATTATTTTTGACACCAAGTTCAACCTGTACCAATGGCTACATAATTTACACACTTACTAATCAATACAAAATAAATGATCTTGGCAAGTTACATTACTTTGGCTGCCATATTTTTCAAGATTTTTGCCCTTTTCAGCACTTTTGAAAATGGATATTATGTGGTGGCAAGTTGAATATTCTGTACTAATGGCTTCATAATTTTCTGATATGACCTTGACCTTAGATTGACCTTTACCATCAAAGTCAAATTATTGGAATATACTTATGTTGTCATATTTTTGTTATTTATTTATGAATTTTGTTTATTCTTTGAAAAAAGATGGTTAATTCAAACGTGACTTTGACCTTTGAATGACCTTGACTGTCAAGGTCAAATACGAAATTGGGATTGTAAAAATTGTTCCAAGACCGATATGTTTTCTAGGAGTATTCTTTGCTGCCATTTCTTTGTTTGACCTTAGAAGTAAGAAAAGGTTGAGTGTGGTCCCCACCTGGCGGTGGCTCTGGTAACTCTTTTACAAGTGACAGGTGTAACCTTTATCTTTTGACAGATGTCTTTTATATTTGGTAGAAACATAGCTTTAGAAATCTTCCACCTTTGGATCAATAAATGGGTCAGTTGGGTCAAGATTACGAATGCTAAAAATAAATTTTTACCCTTTTCCTCATACAGCCTTCATTTATCATGTCCCTTAAAGTTTTTGGGGGACATATTGTTTTTGCCTTCGACGTCTGTCTGTTCGGTTGTCAGTTCGTCCGCATTAGGCTTGTACAGCCTTCACAGGTCAAACTACTGTTGTGATTTCAACCAAACTTAACAGGAGTGATCAGTACCATGCCTAGTTGTACACGTCACTGGTATGTTCTGCTTCGCTACACAAAATGGCCTCCAGAGCTAAAAATAGAAAAATTTTGTCAAGCCTTCAAAGGTCAAACTACTGGTGGAATTTCAACCAAACTGCAGGAGTGATCAGTACCATCCCTAGTTGTGCACACCTCCAGCAGGTTCCGCTTCACTGCACAAAATGGCCGCCAGAGCTAAAAATAGGAAAATTTCATCCGCCCTTCTATACATTTGCTTATACAGTCTTTATTTATATTGACTGATGTTTATTATATTTGGAAGGAACATACTTTGATTGGTCCAGTGTTGGAAGTCACAAGGTCAAGATCACCTAATTATAGATTTTTGTGCCCCGCTTTAGGGGGGCATTTAGATTTACCCTTGTTCATCCATCTGTCCATCCGTTCTCATTTTGTGTTGCACATAGCTCAAAAAGTATTTGACCTAGAATCATGAAACTTTACAGGAATATTGCCAGTATGTGTAGTTGTGCACCTGGGTATTTCCGTGTGGATTTCATAAGTATTTGTAGAGTTGTTGCCCTTGACTTAGTAAAAATTTGCAATTTTCAACTTGAGTCACACGTAGCTCAAAAAATATTTGACCTAGGGTCATTAAACTTTTTAGGAATGTTGATCAGCATGTGTAGTTGTGCACCTGAGTTTCGCTTTTGATTTTTTTTTCTGTTTTGTCAGAGTTATTGCCCTTGACCTTGTAAAAATTTGCAATTTTCAATTTGTGTTGTGCATAGCGCAAAAAGTATTTAACCTAGAGTCATGAAACTTAACAGGAATGTTGGTCAGCATGTCTAGTTGTGCACATAGGGTTTCCCTTGTAGATTTATCCAGTATTTCTAGAGTAATTGCCCTTGATTTAGTAAAACTATTCCATAATGTTTTGTTATTTGTTCCTTGAGTGCTTGAGATAGAATCAACCAACTTTACAGAAATAGTGATCAACATCACGGTGAAGTTATGCATCTGGGGGTTTGCATGTGGATTTTTTCAGCTTTGTTAGAGTAATTGCCCTTGACTTGGTATAAATTTGCAATTTTCAACTTGTTCATGCATAGCTCAAAAAAGTATTTGAACTGTAGGCCTGAAAGTTTACAAGAATGTTGGTCAGCATGTGTACTTATGCACCTTGGGGTTGGTTGTGGATTTATTCAGTGTTTGTAAAATTCTTGCCCTTTACTTAGGAAAAGATTTTTAGTTTACATTTTGTGGCACATGTAGCCCAAAAATATTTGACCTAGAGTCATAAGATTGACAAGGCATTGGAGTGTGGGGGGCACCCGTGTCCTATGGACACATTTCTAGTTTATACTTTTTATTATACAGCTTATTTTTTGCCAATGTCTCATATTTGAGAAGAACATACCTCAGGTGGTCCTTTATATTTGGTAGAGTTTGGGGTAACTGAGTTGAATGTCAATGCATTTATATATATAAGATAAACTTTTATTGGTAATAAGTTGGATATCTTTCAACTTCATCAAATAGCAATGACATACCAACCTATATTTTTTACAATAACAATAGGTCATGACTATTTCAAATTATAGAACTGATTTTTCAGTAATAGAGTATTTTCATTTTGGGAAAACAAAAAAGAAAATTTTGGGTTTGTGACAACGTGAATGTCTTATCACTTGTAACTTTTTATATCTCACCAGGAAGGACAGCACGAGTTAAAGTTACCAATACCAAAGTTTATGTTATCAACTGGGGAAGGTGGTAGCCTGGGAGATGCTGTATCACCTATGCCAGGGGTCATAGAAAAGGTCACTGTCACACCAGGTACAAGTGTAGAGAAAGGAGACCCACTTGTTATTATGATAGCTATGAAAATGGAGGTAAGTGATCAAAGTTCTGATGTACAACTTAATGATCATTATTATATAGAGGATATTTGTTTAGTTCAGTGTAAGATCGGAATATATTTCACCGAGTGAGCACTAAAAGGTATATTTCACGAGTGGCGCAGCCACAAGTGAAATATGAACTTTTGGTGTTCACAAGGTGAAATATATTTCGATCTTACACTAAACTAAACAAATTTTCTTTTTATTATATGCAAAGAAACGTTTTAAAAAGATAATTAACCTAATACTGAACGAAAAGCGCGCCAAATAATAATACAACGTAACGTCATTTACGACGTCACGTCATTAAGTTGGTACCCAGTACTGTGCACGCTGGTATTTCACTGAAACAACGTAAGGGGCTTAAATTCAAAACGGTGAAATTATCAAAGTGGTAATTTCACTGTTTCAAACATTGAAATTACCAGTTTTATTTCACTGATATATTTCTATAAACCACCGAAAAGCATGTAATAAAGTTGTATTAAATTGTGTACATTGGATATTTGAGAGAATAAAAGGAAAATATTTATTATTCATATTAAGCCTTTTGGCTATTGGCCAAAGCCCAATGTGAATATAAAGGCAGAGGTGAATATCATATTTGCCATGTCCTGAGACTTGAATATTCACAGAAAACTTCATAAAGTAACTCCAAGGGTCCGTTTTACTTACGTACTAACGCTTAAGATTTGCATAAATTTTTAATTATGTCAATTTTTTTTTATGTAAAAGTGTGTTACTAAAAATAAGAATTTCATAAAATTTTCCATTAAGTTACACTTAAAATTTGTTAATTAACCACTCTATAAATAGATTATTAAACATCAAAATAAACCTGTGTGATGGATGGCCGATGGTACAGTATGAGCTTAAAAACTACAAATTGCTCAGTGACATTTCTGGGTGTCCGTAGATGACGTTTAGCTTTCTTGAATGTTTTGTTGTCACCGATTTGATTGCCTCCGATTGGAAGGCACTTAATTTTGATAGATATTTCTGAAACGGCTCCTTATTGGAGAATTCTAAAAACCTCCATGAAAAGTTACGAACTATTTTAACACAAGTTTAAGAAAAAACATACAAAAGTTTTCGAAGCGCCCTTTATGTAGGTATAAAATTAAGTGTAAAGTTACTTACAAAAAAAATTACGAAATGTTAGTAAAACTGGGGCCCCTTAGTTGTATTATGCAATGAAAATAAAATTTCCCTCTCACATTTGATAAATTTTCAAAGGTTGTGATTTCTGTTTTTATGCAAATCAACTAATAATTTTTCAGTACATATCACATTCACCAGCTAAAAAGTACATATCTGTTTTATTATAGAATTCATAATCACCTTTATATGGACAATTTAAGTTTTACTGGAAACCAGCATTTTAACAAATGTTTATTTGAGTCGGTCCCCCTTGTTGATGACATGTTGATTATTGCATTTTATTACATGTTTTGCAGTAGATTACTGAATTATAACGGTTAATTATATTCTGGTAATTTCACAGTAATGATTACCAAATATAATTTCACAGTAGCCGAACTATATTTGGCGTAAAAATAAAATATTTATCATTAATGAATGTTTTTTTTCAGCGTAAATGTAGTCAATCATAATAAAAAATGTACGTGATAACTGTACGTGATAACTGTAGTTCGTAAATATTTACGAACGTTACACATGCTGAAAAACATCTAAAATCTAAAAATAATCATGGAATTATATTTTGCTTCAACATTGTGACGTCATTATTTGATGACGTCATGAAGATAAGAGCATGACGTTACGCGGCAAAAATCAGTAAAATGGTGTAAAAATCGTTAAAAAAATCATGAAATAAACAGAAAATTTGTTTGTTTTACATGTAAGATCAAATAATATTTCACTCGTGAACCCCAGCTATGATATTTTCACTCGTGGCTACGCCACTCGTGGAAAATATTGCATCTGGTGTTCACTCGGTGAAATATTTTTCGATCTTACACTGAAACAAACAAATATCCTCTATGTCAAATTTGTGATACTATGACTTTGAACATTTATATTGTTTGTTTCAGTATGTAATCAGAGCTCCTAAATCCGGTATTGTAGAATCAGTATTTTATAAAGTTGGTGATACAGTACAGAAGGGTGTGGCACTTGTACATTTCCAGGACAACAAGTCAGCTAACCAATCAGATGACAGCAGTAAAACAGACTGATTCATCTGAAGCATGAAATATAAAGATATTAAACAACATGTTTATACTGGAAAGATTCTGTGATAAATTGTAAAATATCATGAACAAATTGATTTTTAGTCCGACTATACAACGATTATGGAGAGCTGTCCTACTCACCCTGGCATCCATGTCCAGTTTTCAGATTTAAGTTTTTGTGCTGTAAAATATGTTCTACTATATCTTACGGTATCAACTTCAAATATATGTTCCTAGTCATCAACCATGTTTTGTCGAACAAGGTTCGTAACTCTGGAAGCAATATTTCCATATTTATCCCCCACCCCCTGAACTTCCTTAAAACATGTTATTTTTAGCTTAACTTTTTCGAAGAAAATAAAAACTATTGCCACAGTCATAGTGATGTTGCTGTTGCCACAAACTTTAACATTGGTAATCATTTTTTATTTCTCAATGGATTGTCTCCATACTTGGACACAAAAACCCTTTGAACAAGACGAAGTAGACCACAGAATGACCTTGGCCATCACTCTTAATGACCTTTAAGGTGAAATGTTTGAATTTTGCTAGATTTTTTTCGATAAATTGATAGAATTTTGTTATTTATAAAAGAATTGTCTTCATACTTGAACACAAATATTCTTTGGACAAGACTTTTAAGTAGACAAAATTGTTTTTGACTTTTACTCATCAATGACCAAGACTTCAACTTGAAGGTCATATTGAAATTTGCTGGATTTTTGCTATAATTAGTTATAACTTTATCATTTATGAATCGATTGTCTTCATACTTGAGCACAACTACCTTAAAGACCTTCAAAGTGAGTTTGACCTTTAGACCGAAATGAGATTGACATTGCGTGCGTGTGATCTTGCGTGCGTGCATGTGTTATAGTGAACTTAAAAAACACAACACTATTCCAATTTCAACCAAACTTGGCAGGAGTGATCCTTGTGTGAAGGGCTACCATCAGCAGTGAAGATGATGGCTTCAATGTTTTGGGATAGTCAGGGGATAATCATGATTGACTATCTTGAGCAAGGTCATACCATAAACTGTACGTACTATCCAGACGAATCAAAAAATCGCGCATAAAAGGAGGGGCAAACTGACTCAAGGCATTCTGCTCCTGCACGACAATGTGCCAGCTCACACATCCCAAGTTGCGATGGCTCCTGCAACTGACTGCGACTTTGAAATTCTTCCCCCATATTCTGCAGACTTGGCCCCCCTTGACTCCTACCTGTTTCCGAAACTGAAAACCAAGCTTCCTGGTAGATGTTTTGGAAGCAATGAAGGTGTCATGCAGGCGGTCAATGAGTTCTTTGAGGGCCAAAATAGAGAGTTCTATTTTGAAGGGTTAAACCAGTTGGAGCACAGGTGTGCAAAGTGCATTGATGTAGAGGGCTATTATATTGAAAAGTAAGATCAGTTGAGTTCTCTGACTACCGTAAGTACATCGGGCCAAGAACGTTTTGATCAATCCTCGAATTTGAAAAGTTTTATATTTTTTCTGAAGTATTAAATTAACTTTGTTATTAGAAATGATATCTACTTTAGACTTTAGATAATTGCTCTTTGTCATTACGTCATGTTTGACAAGGTTCATATCTCTAGCATCTTAATTTCAAGAGTTATTTCCTCTATGATCTTAGAATTTTTTACTTTCAAAACTTTTTTTTTTGCTCTTATCATTTTTGTTACCGAAGGGATTGACTTCAGGTTTCAAATTGTTGTCTTTTCCATTACAGCATAGAAATGTCTGTTTAATTTTTAGTGACTGTTTAATATTTAGTGACATGGTCACATGCATATTATGTGGTGCAAAAATGTTGAACATTTGAGTGGAGCTTGCTTGATGCTGATACAAAAATATATTTATATCATAATTGATTTTTTTTTTCATAGTTTTGTCTTCCTTTTTGGTGTCCAGTATTTAATTAGTCGAGTGTGCTGTCTCCATTGACAGGTCTTGTTTGTTGTTTTACTAAAAAGAAATTTGTGTATTCTTTGAACCACTTGATATTTAATGGCAACACTTCATTTCTAGCTTATTTATAAATGAATTTGTGAATAAGTCCAAGAAACCGTGATGATTATCATTTAGATATTAGCTTAATTAAAGCAGCATGAATCTAGATGTGTGTACATTTTAATGAATTGGTAAATTTTGTTATAAACTACAGTGTAATATAGTGGCTTAGTGTATGGATAAAAAAATGATCAATATCACATTGTCATGAGAAATAAAGTAATTTGCATTAAAATTAATGTCAAACATGTGCTTGAATAATTTTACATTTCTTGTACTACATGTATAAAATATTATCCTAAAAAAGATGTGATTTCTGATCTGAAGGCATACATCTGTTGAGCTATCAACTCTAATGTTTGTAAACCCAACATATCTTATGTTAATATATGTGCTTGTAAATGTTAATTATAAATTTGAAGAATATTATGGATCAGTATTGTTAATGAAACTAGTAAGGGCATTTTTTTTTAGATTTTGTGTGTTTTTTAACAATAGATATGTATGCATGTTTTGGTTGTTTGTGGGATTAACAATAGATATGAAAATATATGCATGTTTTTTGACATTGGAAAATGTATGTATGTTTTTTGACATTGGAAAATGGAACTTCCATTTTTTCTATAGAAATATTTTAACATGGTTCCCATTATATCTCCATAAAACAGTGACAAGTTTTTCAGTGGCTATTAATAGTTCTGTGCATTTGTAATTTCATTTTTAATTGGATAACCATGATGTTTATATATATATATATATATACACACACACACACACACACACACACACACATGGTTGTTGTCAACATATCAACTTATTTCGTCATATAAATAGATTTTGCTGTTGTATAAATTGATAATGAATATTTTTGGCAGATTTGATGTTCCTGTATAAATGGTGGTTCATTTTGGGCCATATAACCTAAATAATATACTTAAAAATGGATTGTTGTGTCATTTAATGAAAACGCATTAATTAATATTCTTATTGACATTGGGTAGATAACTTTTCTGTTGTATGAAGTTTAACATTTTAGAATGAAACTGGAATTATCAAATAATATTTGCAAGGTTTATCGTATTGCACATCTGTACTCTTACAATGTTATATGACAAGTTAATTATGATACCTTTTTACAAGTCAACTCTCACCTATTGATGACTTTTATTAAATTGATGTGTGTTTGTTAATAGATTATGTTTAGATCAGCTTATTATGTTGAGATATATAGGATTAACTGTCATTTTGACGTGTCTTTTAATGAATTGATGACAATACTCCCATATTGTATACAGTTGTGAGCATTAAATTAAACATATTAATTAGTATCTGTATTATGTTATAAATGGCTACAAAGTCTTATGATAACTATGAGGAATATTAAATCAGCTACCTCTGTGTACACACTCTTTGAAGTACGATCATTGTTCTAAAATAGGAACGGATCCATCTATTCAGATATGCAAAGGTGTTAAATACTTAACTTTTTCGGAACCTTAACTTTATACTTATTTGAATGTTGCTGCTTAATTGGGACTTTTTTATGCTCCCCGAAAAATTTCGGGGGAGCATATAGTCGGCGCCTTGTCCGTCTGTCCGTCCGTCCGTTGTCTTGTCCGGAGCATAACTTGAAAACCCTTGGAGATAATTTGTTGAAACTTCATACAGTGGTAGAGGGCATCGAGGGGGAGTGCAGTGTCAAAGAACCATAACTCTATTTTGCCCGGTTTTTGAATTATCTCCCCTTATAGAAAAATCTTGTCCGGGTCATAACTCTAAAACTATAAGAGATATCAACATGAAACTTTGTAGGTGAATAGATCTCAATGGGTAGATGTGCAGTGCATAAGAACAATAACTCTTTTTATCCTAATTTTGGAGTTATTGCCCTTTGTTAATTTTTATACTTTGAACTTTGTCCGGAACATAACTTGGAAAACCCTTGGAGATAATTTGTTGAAACTTCATACAGTGGTAGAGGGCATCGAGGGGAGTGCAGTGTCAAAGAACCATAACTCTATTTTGCCTGGTTTTTTGAATTATCTCCCCTTATAGAAAAATCTTGTCCGGGGCATAACTCTAAAACTATAAGAGATATCAACATGAAACTTTGTAGGTGAATAGATCTCAATGCGTAGATGTGCAGTGCATAAGAAAAAAATAACTCTTTTTGTCCTAATTTTGGAGTTATTGCCCTTTGTTTATTTTAATACTTTGAACTTGAACTTTGTCTGGAACATAACTTGAAAACCCTTGGAGATAATTTGTTGAAACTTCATACAGTGGTAGAGGGCATTGAGGGGGAGTGCAGTGTCAAAGAACCATAACTCTATTTTGCCTGGTTTTTGAATTATCTCCCCTTATAGAAAAAATCTTGTCCGGGGCATAACTCTAAAACTATAAGAGATATCAACATAAAACTTAGGAAGATAGATCTCATGGGTAGAAGTGCAATGCAAAAGAACCATGACTCTATTTAGCCCTGTTTTTGAATTACCTCTCCTTTTAGAAAAATCTTGTCCAGGACATAGATCAACATGAAACTCTGTAGGTAGATAAATCTCAATGGGTAGATGTGCAGTGCACAAGAATCATAACTCTGCCTTGCCTAATTTTGGAGTTATTGCCCTTTGTTTATTTTTACTTTTTGAATTGTCCAGGACATAATTTGGAAATCATAAGAGATATCATCAAGAAACTTTGTAGGTTGATAGATCACATTGATTAGAAGTGCAGTGCAAAGAACTGTAACTCTGCCTTGCCTAATTTTGGAATTATTGCACTTTGAACTTTTTCCACGGACATAACTCTGAAACTACAAGAGGTGTACTTTCCTGTGTCCAAAACCTATTCGGGGAGCATCACCCGGCTCAAACCGGGCTCTTTTTCACAGGCAGGAGAAGGGGTCCTTCCCTTAAGTGTGTGTGTGGGGATAACATGTTATTTTTCCAAAAGTGAAAGAAGAAAAAAAGTTTATATAAACGTAGTGCTAGGGGGCGGGGGATTGTATGATGATTGAAATTGTCCTTGAAGTGAAAAATGCCCTGATAATGTGTATAATATACATTTTGTAAAACCTTTAAAAGAGAGGATTTAGAAATGCTTGTTGCAATCTTTTATACATGTATCATAAGGCACTTGCTGAAAATACATTTATATTGATAAAACCTTAATTTATCAGTTGATCTACTGGCTGTTATCTTAGACTAATTTACTCACGCTTGAATCAAATTGCCTCAAGCTTCTCTCTTCTCCTCGGTACGTGTACGTCGTAGAGAAGACACGGGGCATCGGCAGAAGATTTGAAGACTGGGAACGGCGATAAAAGATCTGAACTTGTGCTGCGGACCAGCTGCCGGACCCGCCGATGTCCTAACTAAAGCCGTGGGGAGTGGTCCTACAAAGTAGGCTCTTGGGTCGACGAGGATGGTGTGCTAGGTGCGTGAGCCCTTAGCACGGTTAGACGGCTTGAACGGCAGGCCTTTTGCTGGCACCAACAGCCCTTTTCAGGGCTACACTTTCATATTGTCTCAGTTTAGGTTCTCATTGACCGCCTTACGGTGACCTACTTTTGGCTCAAAATTCATATCTTTGGCTAATACTCCGTGGAAATCGATGGAGGTAAATTATCACCACTTTGTGCTTCAAAATTAATTCTTTAAGGGCATGACTGGTGACATGTCCGGGGTCCGTACTCGACAGCGAAAGCTGCATTTTGTGCCCAAAAGGGCGGATGGACCCTCATTAAGCATAAAATAATACATACATGCCTCAAGCACAATCCCTTCTCTCGGAGTGTGCACGTCACAGAGGAGGTACAGGGCATCCGTAGAAGATTTGAAGAACTCGGGATGGCAAAAAAATAAACAAAAACCAGAACTTGACATTCGGATCAGCCACCGATGTTCTGAATAATGGCAAGGGGAGTGGCCCTAAAAAGTAGACGGGGACGACGAGGAACGTATACTTAGGTGCGTGAGCCCATAGCACAGAGAGTGACGGTTTGAGAGGCAGCACCAACAGCCTTTAAAAGAGGTACCTCCTTTTCATATTGTCTCGGGTTACTGTATATTTAGGTTCTTATTGACGACCGCCGTACAGTGACATATTTTTGGCACCGTACTTGACAGCGAAAGCAGTATTTAGTGCTGTAAGGGCGTATGGACCCTCATGAAGCATATATCTGATCAACATCATCAAGCGCAGTATGGTTAGCGGTATAGGTAGAATGCTCTTCTGTAAAAAGGACGACTCGTGCGGCATAGGTCACTTTCGTTGTTATTTATCATGGGATCCTTTCTTTGGTCATTGGCACTGTACCTCTGCTCTGGCATGTACAGAAGTAACTAGTTCTTTGCGAAAATGAAAGTAACTGGTACGAGTAAAAGTGCTTGATAACTTGCCCAGAAATAATGCGGTGATTGAACTATGCACTGGTAAATTCAATGTAACTTACTGCAGTGATACAGAGGGTAAAGTAGTAAAAGTACCACCACCACCAAATTGCCTCGACATATTTATATTTACGAATAAAATATCACATTCAAGGGGACTATTTCTAAGTCACCAGTATATCTACTTTGTGTCTCTTTCCTTAATTTACTCAATATTACGCAGATACCTGAATCGGCCTCTACACTGACTAAGAGTAATCTACTAAAAGCACCTGCGTGACCAGAGTATATATTCTAACAAATTATGTTGGCACATTCAGCATGGGGCCAGCAAAATCAAGTTAACAACAACAGCCACAAAAAACATACATAATCATACGTGTATTCAAGGGGACAGGTTTTCGATGGAGTTGTGGGATTTTTCATCATTTCACAAACTTATCCTAAATCTGTTTTGCCATAGTAAGTACTTTTACTGTACAATTCCACATATTTTTTATAATGTCTACACTCAATTTTAAGTGTAAAACTGGCTAACTTAGTTCAGAGAATTTAGTAAATAATCTAGATCACAGGCTACTTTACAAATTATCAGTTTAAGTGACTCTTTCATTTGATTTAGGTGACTCATTCATTACTTTATTTGTAGAAGGTAATACATTAAAACATATTCAGATTTGTAACGCGACCCTCTAAATTGTAGAACGAAAAAAAGATGGTATTGAGTTAATTTATTAATAAATTACCAATTTTGTTGATTAAATTCAATAAACAAATGGAAAACATCAATTAGTGCAAAAACTTATTTTTGCTTTATCAATATATGAAATCCGGAGAGCATATCCGGATGATGATACAGTTGGTTTACATATAGTGATATCTGATCGTCCTCACGGACGGAACCAGACTGATTCTTGTGATAGTTTACCCACGGAAGTAAGCCACTTTGAATTTATCAGAGCACAGTTCAGTACTTTTAACGTTACGTACGTCCACCTAGAAACTGTTACATTTAAGAAATTCATTTTCTGACAATGCCAAAGCATCATAGCAAGCCATAATTGGCTTATCTCGGCGTCCCAATATGGTTCGTTTATTCTTATTCTTAGAGTTACTTATGTACATGTACTGGTAAACAATTTCATCCTGCGGATCTCTGTTACCGTCAATCAAAGTTATGGGTTATATTTATTGTAAATCTGACTATATTTACATCGGTATAAATAAATGATTCATTAACATCATCAAATATATGGCGAGTATTTTATTCATTTCAATTGTCATTGTGTAAAGTATAATCATGTGACTAATCTATGGTGACTGATTTGGAACGCTTTTGTAGAATAACAAGTATATACATGTTTAACCTATAGCTCTTCAGCGCTTCTTATGTAAAATTCTTCCAAGTATAATTTCCAATAACCGTAAATTATACCATACCCAGACTATGGTATAATTTTCAGTTTTGAAGATCGAAGGAGTAAGTGTTTCTGGGCGGAGCTATAGGTTAAAACAGATACACCATTGGTGCGTTGGCGATCACTCGACTTCGTCTCGTGAGGTTAAGGCATAAGAAAGGTCACGTGATTATGGTATAATTTACGCAAACCCAGAAATCGTCAACGCAGCAATGGTATATCTATTACTTATATGTTATCTCTTTAATGACGCATTGGCATTCATTATGTTTTGGTTATAAATTAGATTTTTTAATGTCCAGTTCATTGACTGTATTTTCCTATTCATTTGACTTTTTGATCAATTATATAATCACACTAAATAGTTGATGATGCCATTATTTTCTCTTTTAACACACAATTTACTGTCTGAATTAATCTATCTGATAGAAACAATCACATTTAAAGTAAATTGAGCGTGCATATACGACATTTAGATGTAGAAGTATTTTGATGTAAAGGTTTAAATAAAATT